AGCACCACATTACGAACCTCACAACCCCCATGCTCACGAGCCAGATACCACCATGCATCGTGAGCGTGATGAGATTGGCCTCATACGTTCAATATGTGTAAAGGTGATTGATTTCTCTTTGCGCACAATGATTTACTGATTTTTTCAAAGGAGCGATCTTCCGCGAAGCGCAAGGAACTATACAAAATGGTCCAAGTCAAGGCTGGCATCTCCCGCCCTACACAACTCCTTCTGGACATGAAGGTTCGTTGGTCGTCGACCTATGTGATGATTAATTGTGCGGAAACCAATAAAGAGGTGAGTCATGCCAGGTTCATCACCCATCTGTTTGCTTGTCCCGAATATCCCCCATCGTCTTCTAACTCTCAAGTGAAGCACCCGCATTTCATTGCGTATGCCATCTGTTTGCTTGTCCCGAATATCCCCCATCGTCTTCTAACTCTCAAGTGAAGCACCCACATTTCATTGCGTATGCCATCTGTTTGCTTGTCCCGAATATCCCCCATCGTCTTCTAACTCTCAAGTGCTGCACGAAGTTGCACTCATCTGTTACCTTCGCTGTTCACGCGATGTTCTGTTTTGACTGATTTCCCGTTGCCCAACAGCACATTGATGTCTTCGTGTACGAGATGGGGCTACAAGAGCGAGACTTGACGAAGCGGGCGAAGATTGACTTCCTTAGGTTGGCGCCAGCTGAATGGACCTGTGTTGGAAAATTCGCTGATTTATTGTCTGTAAGTTACCTTCGTCATTTGATATACAGTGGCTCAAAAAAGTGTCCGGATGTTTGTGTGATTTTGAGTAATTGGATCATAGCAAGCCAGCACCTAAATAGAACATATTGGTATAGGGACATGTCTGAAAGCCCTACATCATGGCTCAAATCTGAGCCATGTATCGTGGGAACAAACCCTTATATGGGCAACATATGGTAATTCTATTCTTATGACTCATTCAGACACTTTTTTGACTTTATATTAAAATCACAAAATGAGACCATTCATACATAATAATCTTAATGAAAGTGGTACCATAATCATAATATGGTCTTATTTTAATATTATTTGAATATATAAACCCACATAAGATCATGAAATTTTACATACCCATCATGAAGCCCATCTCCTCTGCTCAAAAGGGTAATATCCTTGTTCTCTCTACCTCTGGTTTATCCATCAGGAACATTGCTTCCAAAACTGGTCTTGGCAAGTCTACTATTGCTACAGTTATAAAGCAGAACATACCAGATAAAGAAAATGTCAAAATGGAATGTCCTCCTAAGCTTACCCCACAGAACAAAAGAGCTGTTTTTCATCAAATTCTGTCTGGCAAGGCTTCAAATGCTGTACAAGCCACCAAGTTCATCAATTCCATTATCTCTACTCCTGTCTCCACCCAAACAGTCAGAAACACCCTTAAGGCAGCCAATCTCAAGGCTGTAACCAGGACAGAAAAAACCTCTTCTCTCAGCAGCTCATAGGAAGAGAAGATTGGCCTTTGTTTTAAAGCACCAACATTGGACTGTGGAAGACTGGAAGAAGGTTATTTGTTCAGATGAAACAAAAATCAATAGAATGGGGTCAGATGGTCAGGAATATGTGTGGAAAAAGGCAGGAGAACCCCTAGGAGACAGAGAAGTTAAGGGTACACTGAAGTTTGGAGGAGGTAGTATGATGGTATGGGGCTGCATAAGGTGGAATGGTGTTGGGATTCTCTGTGAGGTGGAGGGAAGGATGAATGCAGAGCAGTACATCTCCATCCTAGAAGAGTGTCTACTCAAAAGCATGCAGGAGTCAGGAATTGATGAAGAAGACATTATCTTTCAACAAGATAATGACCCCAAGCATACCTCAAAGCTGGCCACAAAATGGTTTGAAGACCATGACATCAATGTTTTAATATGGCCAGCACAGTCCCCAGACCTCAATCCCATTGAACATCTCTGGGAATTACTCAAGAGACTACTTGCTGCCTATCAAGATCCTCCAAAGGGGCTATTTGAACTATGGGAGAGAGTTGCAGTAGAATGGGCAAAAATTGCCAAGGAGGAGTGTCAGAAATTGATAGAAAGTATGCCTAGAAGGGTTGCAGCAGTTATTAAAGCCAAGGGGGGTAACACAAAGTACTAGAATTATACAATAAGATTGGTTTAACACAAAGTCAAATAAGTGTCTGAATGAGTCATAAGAATAAAATTATTATATCTTGCCCATATAAGGGTTTGTTCCCACGATACATAGCTCAGATTCGAGCCATGATGTAGGGCTTTCAGACATGTCCCTATACTAATATGTTATATTTGAGTGCTGGCTTGCTATGATCCAATTACTCAGAATTGCACAAACATCCGGACACTTTTTTGAGCCACTGTAATGCTGTTGTTGATTTGATATTTCAGTATGTGGATGTGGCTCAGCAGGCGTTCTCGTCCGAATCGAGTACTACATTACATCTTGCAATCCCTGCACTGGAGACTCTCCATAGAGCTTGGTCTTCATGTGCAGGACGGTCAAAATATGCACGTTTTGCACCTGCATTGCTCTCTGCTGCACAAAAGCTCGACGAATATTATGAGAAGACCACTGGCTCACTGGCCTATGTCATGACCATGTGTACGTGCTGACTGTTTCATGTTCCATATGTCTCCAATGTTAATGTTGCATGCAGTGCTTGATCCGATAGGTAAAATGTTGTATTTCAAGAAGAATTGGCTGAAAAATTTGCAAGATGATGTTCTTAATTGTGCCGAACGAGTGGTATGTCTGACCGAAATATTCACCAGCTCACATTCACTTACAAACCATATAGTTTGAGGCTCGCTATCGTGAATTGGGCCAAGCAGCATCCACGTCGCAACCATCACTGGCCAAGAAAGGGAAGGCTAGTGGGCTTAAGAAGTTTATTCACGAGACACAAAGCTCCGAAGAAGACGACGACGACGACGAGACTGTTGTCACTTATACAGATCCATCTAGACCATGGTATGCGAGTTTCAAAAACTATATTGATGCTGTAGAGACAAAACCTCCACCGGGAATGAGTGCAATCCAATGGTGGGGAGTAAGTACACAACTGAGTCCATCTCTTCTCGCTACTGACTGGTTCTTTGTTGTAGATTAACAGACACAGATATGGGGCAGTATGGACCTCAATTGCTTGTGACTACCTGTCAATTATGGCATCGTCAGTTTCAAGTGAGCGCGCGTTCTCACAGGGCGGTATCACTATCAGCAAGCGCCGAAACTGTCTCAAGGGTGACATCGTTGAGGCACTTCAGTGTGTCAAATGTGCCCTCCGCCACGATATACTCTTCCGTGAGCCTGGACCGTCATCATCAACTGAGGAAGCTCTCGAGGACTTGGATATTGAGTCAGACACTAATGACTCCGAGAAGCTGAGTGATGCTGAGGATGAAGGTTGGGACACTCTTCTGGAGGGAGATGAGGATCTCATAGAATCAGACAGCGACTTCGTGTAAATAGTATGTCATCCTTGTCTGAACCATTTTTCTGTTTTCAGTGCTTGGGCCGTGGCTCAGGCCGAGCCAGGCCAAAGCCAAGCCGTCATTGACGGCTTTGGCCTGGCCCACAGTTCTTCAAAGCCAAAGCCGTCTGAAGCCAGGCCGAAGCCGCGGCTTTCAGGCCAAGCCGGGCCATGCACATCACTATTTGGCACACTGATCAGCGTCACTGGCAGGAAGGCAAACTTGCACAAATTTTGACCTCGGAAGTGCTTGGAACATTAGTTCTGACAGATAACTAGCTAAAATGACAACATCTGAGGTTGATTTGTCAGACTACTGATGGCACAAGTGAGGAATATGTTATCCGGCATGACAATCTGCCACACACTGGTCCGAAACGAATTATTTTCCAGCAGGTGCAAAATAATTCAAATTAAACTGCATATACCAAATTGAGCTCATCGTTTATCACACCCATCAGTAGTTCATCGTCCAAGCTTGTATATGGCTGGTAAATCCAAGAACCCCAAGATCTCACTACCAGAAATTCCATGGAGCGAGGATGACCATTCACGAGTGTGGAAACTCATTGTGGAACTCAGTCAAAAAGCGAATTACAAGGTGTTGTTTGGAAAGAAAGACCAACATGAGGTGAGTAATACTAAGCTTTCATCAGTAAAACACCTGGTTCCTTACCTTCCTTATATTCAACTTTTCTTGTCCAAAAAGCACAAAAAAGCAAGAGTGAAAATAAGTAGATAGCCATTTTGAAAAAGGCCACTCATTGTCTGGAATTCTACTTTCTTTTCACTTGTCTTCCTTTTCGGTATGCAAAGCAAATTTTCATTTAATGACAAGCACACTGAAAGTAGCGGAAAAGCACAAGAAAGTGGACCATTTGGGTGAAAAATGCCTTTAACTGTTCGGCACTCTATCCCACCTGAAATCGCTCTCCCACACCCACTACGCTTTTGGCAAAGGTACACATTCCCCCCTGGTGGGATTATCACGCCTCTTGGTCTTGCCATCAGACATTCACTGATGAAATGGTATTGGTATATAAAGAATTATATTGAGTAAAATCCATGCAACAAGTGCAACAATATTTGATATGTCAAATTATTTAGTCTTACATTGTAGGATAGGCATGGCAGAACTTGCCAAATATACAAGGAGAATTCACTTGTTAAGGCGTCATCAAAGGAACATAGATTGCTAATGTAAATCTAGCGTTACAATTGTGACACATACATGGACTGCGCTCCCTCTAATTATAATGGATGCTTGCCCTGACGAAAATTAAGGGGTCAACATGCAGAAATATAGTGTAGTAAAAGCAGTTAGAGAGCGGGCGGAGGTACTATACACCTGAAATAATGCAAAACGATGAGGCTAAAAAACAAGTGGCAAGACACAAATGTCGACAGCAAAGAGCAAACTTGAAGCAGTGCACGAGAGTGACGAAGACAGCCTCGAAGACACTTCAGGCGAAATCTGGACGGGGTTCAGAGCAGAGAAAAGGAGTATAATGAAGTGGTTACCAGCAGGAGTAGCAGCGTGTGGACGTGGTGCCATCAAATTCTGCAAAAAGCACGTACAATTCAGTAAAAATGCAAAGGAAAATAGTTAGCACATAGATACACAGCAAGGCGTGTTCATCTTCGGACTTGTCATCTGTGACAGTTGAGTCCACGGGCCAGACATTTTCCTTCCATGCTGAACGTGCGATCTCTGTCAAAGACATTACCAAGGCCGCTCCCATCTTCTTGATGGACCTGGCATAATTCTTTGTCTTCTTTGCACACCTATCGCGTGAGAACAGAAAAGGGATGTTGGTCTCCTTTCCAGTGACCTTGTTGAGGACTTTTGGCAGCTTAACACTGATCTTGGTGGATAATGTTGCAGCTAAAATATCCTCAGCCTTGATATCACCCACAGCGATCATTTCAACAGCGCGCTCAAGCTGCAGAGGCCGAAGTCAACAGTCATTCACAGCAGAAAAACTGAAGTCTTACAGCTGTGGCACAAAGTGAGAAGGCACCTACCATTCTACTTGTTGCTAAGGTGTGAGTCTTTAGTGCAGGGATGTTGGCATGGCCACTGATGGAGGCAATGTGCCCCTTTCTGAAGAGTTGAAGCATGAAGGTGGAATGGTACACTCCAAGGGGATCACATAGGTCCATGTCTGCGAAGAGGAAGGCGTATTCCTTCAAGAGGGGGCGTGAGAGAACCTGTGGGTCACAGTCTTGGTTGGTTAGCAAGAAATAGATGACGAGTGCAATGGCTGTTGAGCCGAAGGTGCTACACCATTCAGAGAGGCATTGAATGGTCTAGTTAATGTGCGGTCAAAATACAAGTAAGGTGTGAAAGAAGTAAAAAAACTTGCAAGCGAGAATATGACACCATTCTGAGCCACTTTAAGGCTGAGCTCTGGGTACACTGCATCAAATATAATTTGAATGTGCTCGAGTAACTTCACATTTGTGATGGTCCAAACAAGGTCGTCTTCGAGACTCCCCATCCACAAGATCACAGTCAGGCAGAATTTCTTGGCCCAGCACTGGTCTGCCTGGACTGGCGCAGGTAGGTCGGTGGTCCGGTAATACGCTCGGGGCTTTACTGATTTTGCAGGTGTGTCAAATTGGACTCCAGGCTGGGCCTGTGCAGGAGTAGCACTGATTGGCGCTGTGATCGGTTCTGTCTTCACCCTCTTGGCTGCTGGAGTGTTCGTGTCTACAGTTTTACGGATGTCTACAAATACATGAGTCAGTGGGGATTCATACTGGGGGTCAAGTTCTCACCAAATTTGTAGTGCGGCAAGCATTATCTGGCTTTGACAGCATTCTCATGAGGACTCCTGTGTCAGCACTGGCAGGACCTTGCTTGACCACAGGTTGGGATGTCGTCAGCTTGAGGTCTGATTGGTGTGGATCAACATCCATCAAAAAGTTGTCACCATCAATATCCGATAGGAGGTCGTAATCACTTCCAGCAGCGCTGACATCTTTGAATTTGCTAGCAGATAAAACCTCCAGGATTTCATCTGCCTTCCTTTTGGGGACAGGCTCAGGGTGAGGCACTGGCCGTGCCTCACTACTCTGAGTGAATGGAGCCCTAGTAGGCCCATCATCATATAGACTATCGTCTGAGTCATTGAGCGTGAGTGCGATGGTAGTCTGTAACAATAAATCAGTAGTGTGAAATAAAAAATAAATAAAAAATCACCATGGCCTCCCTGCCTTTCTTGTCCATTGACTGAGCAACCTGGCATTCCAAAGAACCATCCTCTGGCTCTTCATCATCAAAGCCTCCAACAAGGACACCGCTAGATTTCCCACCAGTCCCGGCCGAGGTAGCGCTCTCGATAGTGACTTGGGAAGTCTCTGTGAGGTGTGTGAAGACAGTGGAAGGGGGAACTGAGTTGGAGGTCTGAGTTGCCGCCGGCGTGTGAGGCTTTGAGGGTTTGTCAACACTGTTAAGACCGTGCTTGAGAGGCGGATCTGGAGGGCTTGGCTTCAGCTCGTGCGCTGTGCCCCTTACCCGAGTATTTGCCCTTAACTTCGGACATAGGTTTATGGGTCCGGACCGGCGGGTTTAGCTTAGTCCAGGTGTCGGAGGAATAGAGGTGGACTACCGTAGACGGATCTACAGTAGAAACTAACGGAGGTAGACTACCCAAGGGTAGAGCCAGATATATAGTCGTACGGGGAATCAATCCCTTAGACACGAAGAGGGACAGAGGATAGAATGGGCAGAGTCTAAGATGATATTCGAACTGGGGGAACTACTATGGATGTACAAGGTATTATATATTATGGACATCTGCGACGGGGACGGAGACAGCGGAGATCCGGGTCAAAGGGAGGAACATATGGAAAGGCTAAACTGACAGGCATAAGGAAAATACTACGGGAACGATCGAGGAATGGAATGGAGATGAAGGGTTGAGTGGATCCGGGCCTAGGGGTTATGATCTAGAATGTAACCGAACATTTACTGTCAAGCGGATCCGGCATATAGGGGTTTAGACAAAGGGAAAATACTAATGGGGTAAGAAGCACAATCGAGATAAGGGACGGGCCCGAAGAACCGGCCGTTAGATTAAATCGGAGATGGGGTTCAGGAACGCGGGATATGACAGTATCCCCCCATTAGGGGCGAGCCCACGAGGCCGGGTCCGGGTATCCGATCCGATGATATGAACGCGAGATGATGGGTGGAGCCCAGGGAAAATGTTATAGAGGCCAGAATTTTCCGGCCAGGTCGATCATTCTTTTCACCCTGTTACCAACCTCTCAAATTCTACTATGTCTGGCAGCAAACCCCCTGGTAAGCCGTCTGCCAAAGATGCACTTGCTGAAATGGTGGCCCAGATGGCCGCACTTGAGGAACTCGTCCGGAGGGAGGAAGAACAAGAAGAATGCAAACATCAACAGGAGGCGGAGAGGATCCGTTTAGAGGCAGTGGAGAAAAAGGTGGAGGAGGCATTGAGAATGGAGGTGGAGAAACAGAGGGAGCTGGTGGAGGTGCGCAAGAGATTGCTAGCAGCAGAGAAGGCTCGAAAGGAAGCAGACCCGGCGGGTCCGGAGCCGGGCGAAATTTTCCAATCCTCTGTAAATACAAATGTAATGTACCTACAATGCTGCAAAGGGGCCCGGCTTGTCCAGATATGCTGAATGGAAGTCGGCTATGAGCTCGGGTGCATTCCCAAGCTCAGTAGCAAGGAGCCACGAGGTTTCTTCATCTGTCCCTTGATAGCCCGCCCACCGGACGAGGTAAAGTAGTTGACAGTGTCGTCTTTGGCAGTCGATTTTAGTGTCTAGGATTTCCACAATTTCATACTCAGGTTCTCCATCGACTGTCACAGGCGGAGGGGGAGGTTGGATATGGTTGGGAATGGTGTTTGGTGTAGCAGGCTCTAACTGGGAGACGTGGAAAACTGGGTGTACAGATCACATAGCATCGGGGAGTCAGATGGTGAACGAATGGGATCCGGGGCAGGCAATGATGTTGAATGGTCCCAAATGCTTTTCTGATAGTTTCTTTGATGGATGGGTGGACCTGAAATATTTTGCTTTAACAAAGACTTGTTCACCAACCTTGAAATCTGGTGCGGGTTTTCGTCTTGCATTGGCTGGTCCCTGATATCTGTCTTGTGCATGCGACATCTCGTCACGGAGGAATTGGTGAAGCTCGTCGAGGTCTATTGCATACTCCCAGGCCCGGGCGGAGGAGAGGTCTCATTCCGGGTGTATTGAGATGTTTGGATGATAACACTTGTTGGCGAAGAACAGTGATACTCTGGTAGTAGCACTAGGAGCGTTGTTGTATGCAAACTCCGCCAAGGGTAAGAGTTCAGACCAGTTATCCTGCTGATAATTGCAGTAGATGCGTAGGTACTGTTCTAGAGTCTGATTGGCACGCTCGGTCTGTCCATCACCTTCCGGGTGGTATCGGGAGGTAAAGTGAAGGGTCATGTCGAGGGCTTTGCCAAGGGAGCGGAAGAAATGGGATATGAACTCCGTACCTTGATCGGACGTGACATGGGATGGAACTCCGTGCTTAGAAAACACATGGAGGAGAAATAGTTGAGCGAGGTACGGGGAAGTTATGGTGTTGTAGGTAGGGATGAATATGCTTTGCTTGGATAAGCGATCTATAACTACTAGGATAGCGGTGAAGCCAGAGGAAGATGGAAGTTGTTCGGTAAAATCCATGGATATGGAATTCCACGGCTTCTCAGGGATGGGGAGTTGTTTGAGTAGGCCGTCGGGTTTGTGTCTCGGGACTTTAGCTCGAGAACACGTAGTGCAGGACTTAACATAGTCTTTGACATAAGTTCGTATTCCCGGCCAAGTGTATTCCCGGCGGATTAGGGTCCGGTTCTGACTGAAATGACCTAATAGGGGGTGACCATGGGTGTTCTGTAGGACATGTAAACGGAGGTCATTGGACTCCGGAACATAGATGCGGTTATCGCAGCGGAGGTATCCACTGTTATCTACGGTCCATCTTGGGTCCAAGGATACAAGGAGATGGGTACAGGCGATAGGGTCATTTGGGAGGGCGGATAGTATATCATTGGACAGTAGCTCAAGGTCCATTAGAATGGTCACACCAAGAACCGGAGTGGCTAATGTGGTGGCTCGTAGGGATGAAGCGAGCTGTTCTGTGGCAAACACAGGGCGGAAATTATGTGGATTAACTTGCGCGTAGTCCTTATCCCCCTCTTTGGGGTGGACGTCCCAATGACGAGTAAGGGAATCAGGTTTTGCACCAAGTTTTCCAGGACGGAAGCGGATGATGAGGTTGAATTGGTGGAGGAATTCCGACCAGCGGGCTTGGCGGCGGGAAAGGAGTTTTGTAGTGGCGAAGTATTCGAGATTTTTGTGGTCTGTGACAACGTCTACCGGGTCGGCAGACCCTTCGAGGTAATGCCACCAAGAGCGAAAAGCTTCGTAGATAGCGAGGAGCTCTTTATCATGGGTGTCATAATTAAGCTCCGGGGCCGTGAGGGTCCTGGAGTAAAATGCTACCGGACGGAGTTCACTGTCCGGGCAGATGGTTGAGAGTATACCGGCAACGGCGTAATCAGAGGCATCTGTTTCCACCACAATAGGAACATCGGGCATCCAGTGGGTAAGGACCGGAGCCGAAGTGAAGGCAGTTTTTAGAGACTCAAAAGCAAGGTGACATTTGTCAGTGAAATCCCAAGGGGCATCCTTGCGAGTGAGGCGGGTGAGGGGTACAACAATGTCAGAGTAGTTAAAGATAAACCTCCGGTAGAAGTTGGCAAACCTGAGGAAGGATTGAATATCCTTTACCTTCCGGGGCTCCGGCCAGTCAATGATGGATTGGATTTTTTCAGATGACATGGTCAGGCCAGTGGGGGAAAGTAAGTAGCCGAGGTATTCTACCGAGTTGAAGTGGAATTCACACTTTTCCAGTTTGGCATATAGGCGATGCTTTCAGAGCCGGCACAAAACTTCGAGGACATGTTGTGTATGGGATGCGAGGTTGAGGGAGTAGATGAGGATGTCATCAAGGTACACAATGACACAGATGTCTAACATATCTGCAAAGATGCTATTGACAAACCGCTGGAAAGCCACTGGGGCATTAGTGAGTCCCTCGGGCATAACCAACCACTCATAGGACCTGTAGTGGGTCCTGAAGGCTGTCTTCCATTTGCCACCTTCCGCCATGCGGATGAGGTGATAGGCGGAGCGGAGGTCTATTTTGATGTAAACCTTTGCATGGCTCGGAGAGTCCAGAAGGTCAGCGATGAGGGGGAGTGGGTAGCGGTCTTTTTTCGTGATTTTGTTGAGGCCTCGGAAATCCACACAGAGCCTAAGGGACCCATCCTTCTTTTTGACGAAAAGGACTGGGGCTCCATGCGGGGAGGAAGAGGAGCGGAGGAGACCAGTCGCAATGTTTTCGTCAAGAAACTTGTGTAGAGCTGCAAGCTCAACCGGGGAAAGGGAATATATGGTACCAATAGGCGGGGCGGAACCTTCCTCCAATTTGGTCTTAAGATCGTATGGTCTGTGAGGGGGAAGTTGACTAGCTTTGCCTTTGTCAAAGACATCCGCAAATTCATGGTATTCCACCGGGATCCCCGACAAATCAGGTTGATCCGAGGAAAGTGTGGCAGAGCGGAAAATGGCACCAGTGGGTCGGAGGAAGATACTGAACTGAACCGAGTCCACTAGCTTACAGGCCCTACAAAAGGCTACTGCATTGACTAGGGAGATATTAGGTTCGGTTTTATCAGTGGAGGTGCTTGGTGTAGTCGGGAAAGGTTTGTCCGCCGGAGGCAGGGGAATAGGGGACAATCAACCCGCCCCACTGAGAGTGGAGTTTGAAAAAAGAGCGGTGAGGCAAGAGTATGATTTGAACAATGAGCGTGGATGTACATACTACTAGTAGTACACAATATTATGGCGGGTTGAGTCCTCCAGAGTCCACGAGTCCAGGTGTGCAATATTACAGTCAAAAAGTTAAATGAATTCTAATGCTAATGAGCGAGTGAGTGATAGCTAACGAACACCGTGGGATTCTTTTCGCAGTTCCTTTTTTTGCAGCGCGAAAGGTTGTAGGCGGTGTGGTGTATGGTTGTCCGCCGAGCCAATAACAACATCTCCGAGTCGTGAAGTGGAAGCAAGTGCTGATGGCGAGGGTGGTAATGAAATTGGTAGTAATAGTGGGGTATTGGTGAGCCTACCACGGACTGCAGGACTCATGTGTGGTTCGAAGGGTGCCGAGTGAAACGAGATTGTGAGCAGCCGGCGAAAACAGTCAAGCATTGCATCCTCGAGTGCGAGGCATTCCTGGTAGATGATAGCCTGCTCATTTGAGAGAGTTGTACTAGGAATTTGTGCTGCCAGTGGACCAGGAGAAAATATTTGAATGGCGGGAATGTCAACATGATCTATGCATGGTGTGAGAATGACGGGGTCAAGTAGAAGTGATAGTCCGTCACTAGAGCCTGAGTCGAAGGATGGAGGGGGGATACCAATGTCATCTGAAAGATCACACATGATAGCATCTGAGTCGAGTGCAAAACCGTCATCGAGGAAAGAGTTCGAGTCGTGAAATTCAGTTTCTGGTGGAGTCTCAGCATGGAAATGAGTGCGTGGGATGTGGTTGCAAGTAGTACAGGGAAATTTGCATGTAGTTAGGCTGTTTCCGTCATCGGAAATGTGCAAACCACCAGTGTAGAGAGCTTCAAGTCCTGGTTGAGCATCAGGTTCATCGCTGTCGTGTGCTGACTCATCGTCGTCAAGCTCGTCATCATTATCCAAGTCATTGAGCATCTTTTTGGCATCAAAGAGCGGGGGAATCTCGTCTGCTGGTTCTGTAGGTACCATATCAGGCTTTTCGTCTGACAATCGACGCATATTTCGGTAGTAATCTGCGAGTTTTTGTCGGTCTTCCCGCGCTGTCAGAAAATCAGGTATAACACGAGTTATCATGAGGAGGACCCAGTAGTCAACATGTGGGAGTCGTCCAGAGTGCATATAGTGAGCGAAAAATTTCTTCTTCAGGCGGCAGTTAAAGGACTCGAGGTGGTTATTAGTGCGGATGACTTCTTGCATGGGAACTCCGAGACGTTCAGCAGCAACGAGAACACCACCCGGAGACCAGGACAGCCAAAAGGAACGAAGCTTGAGGTAATCGAAGAGATAGGCCAGCTTTGGATTTTTTTCTCGATACGTCATCATTCTGCCTGCTGAGTCCCTGAAAAAAGCCAACTCCTCATTATATGCGTGCACAGCCTCTTCATATTCAGTGATCTCCTTGAGCAGTCACATGAGAAGTTGACCAAGACGAGCTCGAATCTCTTGGCGTGCAGGTCCTTTCGGTGCAGGCTTTAGGTACCTGTTGAGACCATTTCGCCAAGATTGCCACATGTGAAAAAGACATAGAATAAGGTGAATTGATGGCCAGTGCTTCGTGAGAGCATATCGTTCTCGTATATCGTTGTCCGTGTTTCCAACAGCAATGTTGAACGGTTCGCCAGCATCGTTGAGGCCCATGGCTGCTTTCCACTTGTCAAGTACATCCTCGAGAATTTTCTGATCGTAGTCAGCATGGACAGCTTTTGCTTCTTTTCGCACAGTGAAGATTAAGAAGACAACAGGAATGCCGATATGATTATCGTCAATTACGAGAAGGATGAAAATGAGCACTCATGCAGTGCACACACCAAAAGTGCCATCCATTAGGACCTGATTATTGTGGCCGTACTTCCATGCCAATGCTCGTTGTTCGGGTGTAGAAAAGATGAGGATGCATCGATCAGTGACTCCGTCGACGTGGGCCTGATAAAACATGAGTGCGTGGGAGAGTGCAGGGTCGGGTGGGTGTGGGTCATTCGTACGAAACCATGAATCTAAATTTGCTTCTGCAGCTGATCGTTGGGGTATTCCAATCTCTCTCGCAATTGTTCGGTAAAGAGATGTCGAATCATGACTCGTAAGCATATAACGTGCATGGGTGTCACCAGCCAAATCACCCCATTTCTGTTTTGCAAAGCCACGACAATGTTCCTGCAGCTGCGTCAAAGGAGTATTCAGGCAAAGTAGAGCTAGTGCAAACTCTCGGAGGTCTGGATGGAGTGGAATACGAGGGTCGTGGTCCATCTCGAGCTCGGCTTCGCATGCCGAGGAGTGATCAAAGATGCCCGAGACCTCTTCGATGATGGCCAGAGAACTGTCTGCATATATTGATGTGTTAACTACGTGAGCCTCAATTGACTCGTATCATTACCTGACGTGCTTCGTTTGATCTGAAAGCCGAAGAGGGGGAATATCAGGGCCCGAGGTGACAATGCCACGACTCCTGGCAGCCTCCCAGAATACCGTGAATTGATTTAAAGTAGTCATTATTACAATATATAGAGCCGTGAGGGTATACAGATGGATGACAACGTGTTCCATTCTCTGCCACCAGCGCATCTCGCATTTCAAACTCCGCCTTTGGCGGGTCGAGTCCTAATTCCGGGAATAGGAGTCGGAGGGGGTATTGGCATTCTTTGCGGGATGGTACGGAATTCGATGCTGCCCTTAACCCAGTCAATCAACGGATTGTGTTGGGAGAGCCAGCTATATCCAAGAACGATCAAACATGATGAATCCAATGGAGTAACGTAAAACATTTCAGAGGTAACTACACTGGAGCCGAAGTGGATGGGTAGATCTATTGCTTCAGTAATAGTAGCATTAGAAGTACCATCAAATAACTGGAGCGGAAGCGGAGGGATTGCATAGGTAGGTAGGTTGTGCTTACGGACAAGGCCCGTTTCTATAAAGCAGTGTGAAGAGCCACAATCTACCAGAGCCGGAAAGGCAGGTATAGCGGAAAATGTCTGAATAGTGACATGGGGTTTTAATGAGGACGGACTAGAAAGAGCGACAGCGTTGAGGCGTAACTCCAATGCACGGGTTGAGTCAACACGACCCTCATCCCGTGCGGAGTCAGGAGGGTCACGGACTAGTTTTTTGCCTTAACAGCAGCCTCGGGAAGTCCTTCCAGGGCCACTGTAGTTGCACGGCCTTTGGCAGTGCGCGAGGTCAATTTGGAGCAGTCCCTGGCTGTATGGCCGGGTCCACAGAACAGGCAGAGCCTGTTGTCCATGCGCCGTTGTCTTTCCTCCGTGGTTAACTTTCCGTCTTTTCCCAACTTGGAGGTCAGGTCGGGGGTTTTTGCGGCGGAGGAAGTAGATGGGGCGGGTGGTTTTACAAACTTACCGCTGGACGTACTTGTCTGGTCGGAGGAAAAGGCAGTTTGCCTTGCAGGAGGGTTGGGGGTGGATGTGGATGCGGATGGTTTTTCTCGGGAAACTTCTCCCTTACGTTCCCAGTATCGGGTGTCGATAGTCTGGGCAAGGGTTCTGTATTCTGCGAGCATAGTAGGTTTCCCCTGGCGGCTGATTTCATCCTTGATGCGAGCTGGAAGCCCATTGTAGAACTGGCGGCGGAGTGCTCCGTTGCCCCAGCCACGGACTTGTGAAGCGAGTCATTGGAATTCAACAACATACTTATTGATGCGCTGTCCGTCGCGCAAGCAGAGTTGTTCGAGCTGCATTTCTGCATCTCCAATGGGGTCGTGGGGGCTGAAGTTGGTTTGGAGCTCGAGCATGAACTCGGAATAATTGTCCATCCAATCCGGACGGTCATTGACATCGTCGGATAGAAGGTCCGGCTCAAAATACTTGAGGGCCATTCCCTTTAAGTAAGATTGGGCAAAGTTGACTTTGGCCCGACCCGCGCTGAATGCACGGACCTTGTTCTGGAAATTGAGCTCACACTGCATGAAGAATGCGCGGAGCTTGCGGGGTTCGGTGCCGTCGAATGTGTCTGGCTCCCAGACCTTGATCTTGGATTCTTCCACAAGGGGTCTACGAGCGGTTTGGGTGAGGAAGTTGATTGCCTGTGAGAGGCGGAGAAAAACTCGTCCTTGTGGATTGAGGTCATCATCATCTTCATCCTCAGGCTCGTTAGGAGGGTTACCCCATGGGTCTCCTCCTCCGTCATCCGGTGGACCCCCACCTGGGGTGTCGTCACCATTGTCCGGGTCCACGTCAAAAGGTGGATTGGCAGCAGGTGTGCGTGTAGGAGTTTCCGGATGAGGGTGATTGAGGATGTCGGAGATACTACTGGTAGCACTGTGTGTGCTGGTACGACACTGAGAGAAGCTTACAAAAGTATTGACTACAGGTGTGGGATCACGTCGACTACCAACTAAGCCTGCTGCGGCAAGGCGAGTAGTAGGAGCCATTGCAGATGATTAGTATACTCGGTAAGGTTTGAGTTCGAATATACTGTTAAGACCGTGCTTGAGAGGTGGATCTGGAGGGCTTGGCTTCAGCTCGTGCGCTGCGCCCCTTACCCAAGTATTTGCCCTTAACTTTGGACATAGGTTTATGGGTCCGGACCGGCGGGTTTAGCTTAGTCCGGGTGTCGGAGGAATAGAGGTGGACTACCGTAGACGGATCTACAGTAGAAACTAACGGAGGTAGACTACCCAAGGGTAGAGCCGGATGTATAGTTGTACGGGGAATCAATCCCTTAGACACGGAGAGGGACGGAGGATAGAATGGGCAGAGTCTAAGATGATATTTGAACTGGGGGAACTACTACGGATGTACAAGGTATTATATATTATGGACATCTGCGACAGGGACGGAGACAGCGGAGATCCGGGTCAAAGGGAGGAACATATGGAAAGGCTAAACTGACAGGCATAAGGAAAATACTACAGGAACGATCAAGGAATGGAATGGAGATGAAGGGTTGAGTGGATCCGGGCCTAGGGGTTATGATCTTGAATGTAACTGGACATTAACTGTCAAGCGGATCCGGCATATAGGGGTTTAGACAAAGGGAAAATACTAATGGGGTAAGAAGCACAATCGAGATAAGGGACGGGCCTGAAGAACCGGCCGTTAGATTAAATCGGAGATAGGGTTCAGGAACGCAGGATATGACAAACACCAGAGATCCAGTTCTGGATCTTCCCGCTGAGTGTGAAGTTAGGGTTTCTGCTGGTGTGATTAGAAGTTGGATTTAGGAAGAAAAGTGTAGATTCTGTGAGTAAGAGCATGATATGAAGCTGTGAGAGACTCACAGAAGTGTGTTCTCACTTCCTTTATCAGCACGTGTTGGCCCCTTGCTATCACCGCCGTCATCATGGTGAGAAGTACTATTAATCTCCTGGCATGCATGATTGATGGATTCTCTTATCCCCTTCTTCTTCTTCCTCTTACTAGGACTGTCGTTGAGACCTTGCTCCAGCACTGCATTCTCAGTGAGTCCTCCCTGAGGCTCATCATTGGCAACTACTGAAAGGCTTTTCTCTTTTTCAGAGACAGCCTTTTTAGCCTTGGACTTTCCTTTTGGAAGAGGTCGCACTAGTCTGGCCTTCTTGGTTGCTGATTTGACCTGCTTCTCCTCCATGGTGAGCTCCATCCTAGCCAAGCGCTGGATGCCTACCTGAGTGGCTGTAGCCTTTTTGGCTTCTGCGGCTTTAGCAACAGCTATCTCCTCTGCAGTACGTCAATGGACTTTTGCCCGAAGGACAATATGCTTCAGTCTCTGAACCGCACTGACGTAGCAACTTGTATTCATCAGCAACCATAATTTATCTGTTTTTCTGTGGATATGTGCTCTACTCATAAGTTGTGCCATGGTCTTGCGAACAGTATACAGCAGCGCACATTACAGCTCTTTTAAACAAGTGCAAACATGTTGGCAAATATTGTCCAAACAATTGTTCCCTTTCTTGATGTTTCTATTCTGACAGATAGTGATGTTATCTACCATGTATTATCTTCCGAGTCCAGCACCCAGATTCTCACCTGCATACCACAGAACTTGTGCTCTGTCAAAGAACAGGACAGTGAACGGAAGAAGGCATATCATTTGGCTTTCAAACAAGAGACCATTGTGAACATGAATGCTATTCATCTTTATCGAGAACATTCTTGGCCATCTGTTGTGTCTAAAGCATAAATTCTTCACTGCCTCTCCAATTATTATACGGGATCACAATGGTCAGAACCTCCTGTGTGTGCAGTTTGTTCCAGGTATGACTTGTTGTGTTCAGCTGTCAGCCTTTTGGATGATTTCACTAGTCTCAATTTGGACCTAATGTGACTCTCAGATCCCTTGGTTATTCAGCAATGCATTGTTCAGTGTTTGTCAATATATTTCTCATTTGACCACAACTCTATCAATGGTCTGATGATGGACAAGTCTGGTGTCGAATTCAGAGCATCAACAGGCAAAGCCACTGCCACATTCAACCTTTGTCCAGATTGTCGGTTGTCAGAAACAGAAGGTCCCTCAGTTAGCCCTTGCCAATAATTTTTTTTGTGGAACTTTCCCAGAACAATTCACAGAATTCTTTCATTACCATAACAGCTTCATTTTTGTTGTTTTGAACATCATGCAGTGCAGGCAAGCTCATCTTCATGTCCTGTCATGTCTGTCTAGTTCTGTTGGTGCATACTCTCACCATTATTACCGTCACTGACCTCATCCAGGGTTTATGACACATATGTTACATACTTATCCGCTTCCTTTGTGCTTCCACACTGTCTATCCACTTCCCTCGCACTTCAGCATCCTGAGAGTGTGCATAGCTACATACATATCTAGAGGACTTAGGATGATTTTACTTACTTACTTTTCCCTTACTTAGTCACAGTATCTGTCTTCTGCCAAGTTTGTGCACAGAGCACTAATATCATCACTGCTTTTGTCTATCATCTTCCTAGTCTCATTAAGACCTTCTGTCACATTCCTAAGGATCCCTATCATTTGCTGCCGCCGACTTTCTACTTTGCACATATCATGTGTTAGCCTCTTTTTACCGCATATCCCACACATCATGTGCATGCATCACATATACATCTGCGCATCTTTGTGCGCCTTTGCATAGCCTCGGCTTATTGCTAGTCCTTGATTCTCTCATCTTTTAGAGAGATCAGCCTCAGTAGCATCCCTTTAGGATGATTCTACTTAGCTTGCCTCTCGAGGTTATTTCCTTGTGACTCCCAGAAGTTCACGGTCCTATTTCCTCACCCACAATGGCCTCCCTGTCCTCCTGCAAGTAATTCCCCACTTGATGTGTTATCAGATTGGGATGCTGTCTATGTTGCCGAAATCAAAAGATGTGGTGAGGTCCTGCAGCATCATAGGTGTTTCCTTGTTTGCCATAAGTACAGAAATGTAAATCATTGTTGATTTTTCTTCCCACACGAAGTAGTGGAGGCTTTTTCATTTGATTCTGCTACAAACTCTGTTGTACTAATGTGTTGTGATGGCAATGTCAACTACTTCAATCCATATATATATTGGTGTTCTGTCAACACAATCACAGTATCAAGTGCATCTTATCTGCCAAAGGAGCAAAAGCTGCAGTGTTTTACATCTTCAATTATACCACCAAGATGGATGTGAAAATGTATGAGGTTTTGTCATTACTCTTACATGCAAGTACATGCTTAACAGGCAGTGCATTACATTCAAGGTTTTAATGATGGTATTTCATCACATCGAACAAGCCCAATGCTTTCGTCACTGATAATAGGCTATGTGAAGGATATTTATCTGTTGTGGGTACAACAACAAATCTGCTGAAGAGCAGAAAGTGTTGGGTCTTGCTGCAATGCCAACATAAGCAAAGTTGATAGGGGTAAAGCATCAGGAAAAAGTGTTAGTGCTATATAGGGCTATATAGCTGTATAGCCACATAGCCAAGTACCTTATTATATGGACTCATTATAGTGTGACATAACACTATATAGTTACAATAGTGCCCCAAGTCACTATGGCATCTATAGAACTATTATAGCTCTTATAGCTCAAAACACACAAAAGCAAAAATTTCTCTTATTAGCTGTTTTTTGCCATGATAGTGTTCTCAAAACTCAAAAAAAGCGAAAATTTCAAATTATATTTCAACTACTACAGTACATGTAAACTAATAACTACAAAACAGGCAAAAATGCGAAAATTACAGGAGGAAGAGGCAAGGAAGAAAGAAAGACTTACCAAATAGTGAAAATTGCAAAAATTATTGAGGGGAAGGAAGTAAGAGAGCTAGAAGGAGAGGATCAGACAGGAGACAGTGAGAGTCAGAGAAAAAAACTTGCCAAATGGTCAAAAATGCGAAAATAATTGAGGGGAGAGGGAGGAGGAGGCAAGGGAAGGGAGCTAGAAGGAAGAGGGAAGAGAGCTAGAAGGAGAGGGTTAGAAAAAAGATTAGTCAAATAGACAAAAATGCGAAAATTATGAAGGGAGACTTACCAGAGTTCAAAGCACCAGCACCAGTACCAGTATTAACAACATCAACACCAAGAGAAGGATAGAGAAGGAAGAACAAGAGAAGAGAGGCAAAACTCGAAAATTGTAAAAGAAGTATGGAAGATAATCTAATGGGCAGTGGGGGGGGAAGGAAAGAATGGGAAAAAACTTGTTGGTTGACCGCATTTTTGCTTACATAAGCAGTGCCAAACAAAGCCATAACACAAGACTTTATGTGAATTTTCGAGTTTTTGGTTAATAGAACTAGGAATATAACAGTAAGAAAAAGACAATGAAATTGTGGCATTTTGACTGTTAGCATTAGGATTTTGAATACACATAAGGTGATTTTCGCATTTTTGCTTACATAAATAAGGTGTACCTTAACACTTTTGAACCCTTCAATTCCAAGTATTTTCCTTATACCTCACTAAGATCTTGACCTATTGAAGTCATTAGACTATGGATAGACTTCCCTTGACAAGGACTACAACATTGATTTTATCGAAAAAAGTTCCCACGGTCAAGTTGCTTTCTTGAACCCTTCAATTTCAAGTATTTTCCTTGTAACTCACTAGGATCTTAATTTATTGAAATCATAAGACTATGGATAGACTTCCCTTGACAAGGACTACAACTTTGGTTTTCATCGAAAAAGTTCCCACGGTCTACTGGGGTCTATAGTTGTTGAAATGTTTTACTTCTAAATACACTTACCAAACTTTATGGTAATATATAGACTGGTCATCCCTCCTGTGAATCATATGTGTTACTTAAACATATCAACCAGGAACAGGGTGATGCTGATGCAGAACTTGTCCCTAGGGTGGTTGACATGTCTATTCCTTGAAGGACGAATGCGAAGATGTGGGTGGTGTTTGCCCTCGCACATTTTAGTATTTCCAGTGAACTTTTAGCCATAAATGAGGATCCAATACTGTGCTATGAAAGCTTTCAGTTTAACACAAGAAGTCTGGAGGTGATGTCAAACTGGGAAGCTGTACACAAATGTGAGGATGAGTGCGATGCAGATAGACTGCAGAAATATGCATAGCTTACTGCTGAAAGCAAGGCCCAGATGGCCTGTGTCACTCTGTGTGTTGATGACAACGAGATTGACTTCACATTGGCTGTGAACTCCTCACAGTGGGCTGAGAATGATTTTCATGTAGCTTCTCACCCGGTCCGGTCCATCCAGTTCCTTGGGTCCATTCTAGAATTCATTTCCCTGAGTCTCGATTTGTATATGCTTCTTGCTGCCCCTATATGCCCGGATCCTTCTGACAGTTAATGTTCGGGTTCATTCTGATCCTTCCGTTAGTCTATTCATTTCCTTTTAATTTAATATCCAGCTCCATTCTCAATCATCCGCAGTATGTTTTGTCCACTAGTACATTTTCCACATAGCCTTATGTTCTGAGGACTGCGCTTCGGCCGGATACCCATCGGATACACTACAGTATATAAACCCTTTGTAACCCATAGTATTTCCTAAGTTCGAATATTAACTTAGACTCTGTTCATTCCCCGTGTCCTCTCGGCTCTTAGGATTATCATCCTAGTCTGATCCTCTGAGCCTCGGGATTATATCCCTAAGGCTAAATCCCTCCATCTCTACCTTCAGGTAGTCTGTACCCTATTAGTCTGTACCCGGACATTAGTCTCGGTAGTCTTCCCTCCCTCGTCTGGCCTATCCATTACCCCTCAGCCAACGATATCTATCCCCCATAAGTTAGGGGCACATACTCGGGTAAAGGGCGCAGCGCACGAGCTGAAGCCAAGCCCCTCAGGTCCGACCCATTGAAGATGGTCTTAATAGTGTCCAGCAAGCTGTTCTTCAATCACTGCTGACAGCCTCAATGATGATGCCCAGATCCAAGTGCTTCCCTCAAATCCATTCACCTCAAGCTCTTCAATCTCTGAGCTGCCACTTGTATTACCTCCTCCACCAACTCCCCCACAAACACCACAAGTTCATCTGCCTCCGGTTCCCATTGAGCCCATCCAAGACATGGATGATGCACCTGTGCCTTCTTCCTCTACTAACCGGTGTCAATGTGCAAAGGCACCCACAGCACAACAGCAGGTGCAGCTTCAAAAAAACGAACCTCATCAATGCTATGCATGCAGTGTTGCCTTCAACAGGTGTGAGCTTGACAATGCCATTGGCTTTAACTCTGGCACCAAACAAAAACAAGGCCATGGCGACAATCTAGGCTTGAACTCGAACAAGTATGTTCAACATCTTCGTTGTGGTCAATTTGTTCATGTATCTTTTCATTCCAGGAAACCCAAGTGAGGGTAAGAATGGCATGTTGGTATTCATGCTGTATTTAATTTTGATGATTTTGCACTCTTAAACATCTTTATACATGTAGTATTAGTTGTTACTTTAGTCGCAACATATCATGGTGAATCTAATAATCTTGACTACATATTGATATATATAAGTGTCCCTTTAACAACCAAATATATATGTTTTATACTGTTTTAATAGTGTGCTGGGACTTCAAAAATCAACATGTACTGGACGCAACTGGGACTTGGAAAAATTTAGCCCATTCAGATATTTCTGAGCACATGGACTTGAACAGCTTGTTTCATTGAGTCAAGCAGGCCTTGAGCCATGAAGTTTAACTCAATTGACGGCAATAGTGTTGCAATGGGAACTGAATGGGCCGCTTCTAGAGGCTCCTGAGTGACCAAAGATGATCAGGACTAGAGTCCAGAGTAAGTTGCCAATGTATTCAAGTATAGTAAAGGTATACAGTACCTAGAGTCCAGAGTAAGTTGCCAAAGAGGCAGGGAGCACTGGACTCTGGGATATGGGCGATGTATGGTAAACAAGTGTAAACAGACAAGCCATAACACAAAGGTAAGGGATAACTCGACCTAGACAAGTCCTAGGGAGGTCAGGGAAGTGAGTGAATGGTCAGAGAAATATAGGTAATGAATATGTACGTATAGAGACCATGAAAAGGATAGAAAAGCATACTGTAGAGGTGAATGATCATATAACTAACAAATAGAACAACCAGAAAGGATATGAGTAAGAATAGAATGCAATGTGGGGAATGAGAAGCGAGGGGGCTGCCAGGAACAGGGTTATAAAGGCAGCAACCAGCCTGGACCAGGAATACAGCTTTTAAAGACCAACAGTACATTACACACATTAGGCAACATCTACACGAATTTAAGGTTAATGCATGATAATGCACCTAATGCATTACTCTGCCGGTTCAGGTGAGAAGTAATGCAACCTAGACTTAGCATTACTCCTGCATCACTCTATATTGACACTTACCATACAATAATGCATTAGAATGACAGTATAGCCTGGGAAGACCAATATTGTTTGCGAGACGGTATCCAAACAAGTTCTCAAGATAGAGGAAGATCTGTGTGGAATAATCTTCACTCCAGATGGGCGGATCTCATTGTAGAAGACCTTCACTTTGAAGGTTTAGAGAGTAACTCTGTAGATCGTGAATTCTCCAAGCTCGCTACTACTCCCCACAATAAGGTGCCTAAAATCACAAGTGTACAACAAATTCTACCTTATTCCCTGGGTTGCCATGAATCTCATATCCAAGACTTGGAATGTTCTCTGGAGACAGCATACAAAGAAATGATTGCCAGCAGCGATTCTGGTACTGCACTGCATGCCATGAGCAACAACAACACAAAAATTGAAGGTATCATTACCCACCATTGGGTCCTAGCTGCCGAGAAGTGCATCATGAAGATTGAATACTTTCACGATGAAATCAGGAGTGAGATTGAGAAGGCAAAGTATGAGAAGATGAAAGAAGATCTGGCTGCAAAGCCGGTGAGCAAGGTGTATGCCATATTCACATCAGGTTGTGCACTTCTTTCAACAATCATCCAGCAGCAGGCATGAGGGTTGAAATTGGTATGTGCTATCTATTGTTGACACTCATGCCTTGTTTGTTTCAGCTCACATCATGGTCCAAGTTGCAACATCAAACAGTTGCTTTGCCACTGTCAGCAGGTCCTTCAAAATTCCCCTGGTTTTATGGTGACAGTGACTCAGAGCTTTCAGACTTGGTGCGCTTGTTCTACTTTCACTTTTATTTCCCCGCAAATCATTTCCCTTAATAGCCTGAGAGTACTATTTGTGCTTCCCCATCTCCACCATGGAAACTTCCACCACGAGCAGCACAAAAGGTATGCTTTCTTTTTGCGCAATGTCTTATTGACCAGTTACCCATTATTTTTTAGACTCACAAATAAGCCCTAATTCCAAGTCACTTTCTAATGTTGTTGTTACACAATGTCTCTCTGTTCTTCCTTCTTGCCAGCCTTTCTAATTTCTAGTGGAGCTTCAATATGCTCTGTCTTTATTCTATTATGCATCCAGCTGCAAGCCTAGGACCCTCAAGTTTCACCTTTTGCCCTACTTCAATTTCTTGCTGCTTCAATTTCTTGTTTGTGCACATTGAATGGTTATTCAACCTGATGACTTATAATGTCTTTCATCTCAGTGGTCTATGCTTTACTCAAATTGTCCATTATATCACTACTGCAATATTATAATGCCCCGCTCCACAAAAATCCAATGATTGGCTCATCTGATGGAATGGTGCCAGCCTGATGGCTGCTCTCTCCAGGAAGCGATGATCTCTGTCTACTACATCCAAACATTCTGGCTAGCTGCTGACAAATGGTCTCCTCCTCAGCAAGCTCCGCACCTCTGCCACCCTTCTCCCTAGGGGTCCCCTACTCTATGTGCCCCCCTCAAAAAACAGAGATGTCCTTGTCGACTACATCCTCGCTGCTGTACATTTCTTCTATGCTTCCCACTTCCTTGTTCTCTCTCTCTCTTGCTTGTTCTTCATCATTAGTGTTTTAAAGTCCAGTTGCAGGACCACAAAAAGACCGGAAACCGGACCGGACCGGACCGGGTCCTAAGAAGGACTGGTTGCAGTCTTTTCCAGTTGCAAGATCAGTCCAGTCCAGTTGCCTGAAGTTTGCGAAAAATAAATAAACCGGTCTAAACCGGTTAAAATCGGTTTAGACCGCAACCGGTTCATATGTACATGTAGTACTCGTCAGCGCGGTTCTAACGGTGGTCCGATCATGTAAAACGGCTAAGATTTGACAAAGTTATGAGCATTACAAGAAAAAGCTGCAAATTCACGGGATGTCTTGTATCTTAGCTTTTATCTAGACCAAACCATAATCAATTGACAAGGTAAGACCAGCTATAGACTCGTCTATACTAAGGCTACAAGTAATGTTGACACACCTAAGCCTTATAGTAACAACTTTGATTTTGTGACATTTCATATACGGCAAGTCAAAATCAGTCAAAATCACTGATTGGCTCATAACTTACCCAAACCTTGAGTGTCCGACAAGATATGAGTAGCTATAGACTTGCCTAGACTAGGACTACAATTAACATTAAGACACCTAAGCCTTACGACCACTTTTATTTTTCAAAGACAAGCCCGATAATGATTTTTTGTGAAGCTTATATCTTGCTTATATCTTACCCTATTGACAAGATAAGACTAGCTATAGTATCGCCTTGACTAGCAGCACATATTTCGTCAAGAAGCCTAAGCATGGTAATGACATTTCATATTTGACTCACATGCAGGGCGGAGTTTGGGAACCCTTTTTATAATGCTCGTATCTTGCTCAGATCTTAACCGTTTAATACAAATAAACCACCATTAGAATCGTGGGAAGGAGTGCTACACTCCCACAGGACTGGTCTCAGTTGCAACCAGTCTAAGACCAGTTGTAGGACTGCAAAAGACCGAAAACATCGGTCTTTACAGGTCCAGTCCAGTCTTGATGATATCGTGGGAATGAAAAGACTGGTCTGGTCCGGTTGCCTCCAAAAAAGGCAAAAAGACCGGACTGGATTGGACTTTAAAACACTATTCATCATCTTCTTCATTTGGTGCTTGGTTTCCTTCTACCTCTACTACTCTTGTCTTCGTTTGTTCTTCTTCACTTCTTCTCTGTTCATCTGCCAACTTGGTTCCCTCCTGGGGAAGGAATGCCCATAAACGCCTGGCATAGAACTCACCTGGTATTGGGACTCCGTCGAGGTTTTCTAGCCTATATGAGTTGCGTAGTCTCTCTGTGATTCTACACGGTGTTCACCACTTGGGAAGTAACTTCCTTTTTGCTTTGAGCGTATTGTGCACACTGCTATGATAAAATTGAGTAAGCTATCCTGGCGTGATGAACTACATGTGACGGGCACTGGTGTTATGCTGCACGACAACACTCCTGCTCAGAATTAGCATGGTGCATTTTTTTATTTATTTTAAATATCTTTTCTAACAAAACTTATAGCACAAATACTGGAAGACTTCCCTTGGTATGACAAGCTAGCTTCAATCCTAGGGACCAATCCAGTGCTGTCTCTAAAGACAGTCTCATCCCAGCCTGGAATGGACCACGCTGCTAACTACTTTCGAATCTCGTGCATGGCAGGAAGTTTGTACTCACAGGGCCCACAATCTGATAGCACCCAATATGGGGGCTATGCTTCTAGCACTCACTCTGCTGCTCAACCTCAGCCGTCTCCTCCACCTGCCCCTCAGTATGCTCCTCCTCCACCTGCTCCCCAGTATGCTGCTCCTCCGCCGGCTCCTCAGTATGCTGCTCCTCAGCCAGCTCCTCAGCCTCACCTTGCTCCCTCTGGCACTACATATGGGGGTGCTGGCTATTCTGCTGGCACTGAGCACCCTCAATTCAACTATTCCACTGGCGCTCAGCGCCCTTATCATCAGCACTTTGGCACTGACCCCCCAGCACTGTCCGTACTCACACCAACGTGCCCCCATGCCCCCCATTCCCTTGACAACGACTCTGATCTCCCAGACACTCTCAGCCTATACCTTCAAGACAACAATTTATTGTTGCAATGGGAGCTGAATGGGCCGCTTCTAGAGGCTCCTGAGTGACCAAAGATGATCAGGACTAGAGTCCAGAGTAAGTTGCCAATGTATTCAAGTATAGTAAAGGTATACAGTACCTAGAGTCCAGAGTAAGTTGCCAAAGAGGCAGGGAGCACTGGACTCTGGGATATGGGCGATGTATGGTAAACAAATGTAAACAGACAAGCCATAACACAAAGGTAAGGGATAACTCGACCTAGACAAGTCCTAGGGAGGTCAGGAAAGTGAGTGAATGGTCAGATAAATATAGGTAATGAATATGTACGTATAGAGATCATGAAAAGGATAGAAAAGCATACTGTAGAGGTGAATGATCATATAACTAACATTTATATCGCGACAATGACAACACTATGGATTCCACCTTGGATCCGCTCCCTCAGCCCATTCGTCCTGCAAGACAGGACAAGTGGGAATACGACCCCGATGTCACCAACCTCAACAGTCCACCAAGGCCCCGAGCTCCCTCTAAATGCCCACTCCCTCCACCATCCCCTTCTCCCCCGCCTCCATCAGAATTTGCACCCCCCAAAAGTTACAAACTGGCCACTATGATAGCTGTGCGTCCTTCACAACACCTATCTCGAAGAAATGTAGGAGCATGTGCAACTCTGGTGGGTCCTCCAGCTCATTGTGGTCAGCACCGCATCAACAACATCTGCCCCTTTGTCCATGTCCCAAACATCCCAACATGCACCATCCTCTTTGAAGGGCAAAGGCCACCAAGTCAAGAAGCAGCACTCAGACCTCCAAAGCCAGGCTCAAAGCCAAATGGAGGTGCTAACTGGATCGAGAGTGCACAATCTGACAGAGTTGTGCACAAGGAACTCAAGAACAAACATTACATGGTGAAGTTCAATTTTGCTCGACAGACAGAAGAGCATCATTTCCTCCACGAGGAACGTGCTTACGAGCGCACAGAAGCTAATGTCATCCATCAGGGTGCGCAAGAGATGAAGGACTCAGAGATCTGTCTTTGTGAAGCTGAGACAAAGATGCATGACACATTGGCGCATGCGCATGCTGAGGAGGCAGCTACCCTTCATCTCAAAATTGAGTATTGCCGTCTCAGTCAAGGATCTTGAAAGTGTGCATGCTGTGTAGTGCTTGTACTTGTTTTTTCTTCTTGTTGTCTTTGTATCATGTTTTAATCTCTGTCATTCATGCTTTGTACCATTGTTTGTGCCACTCATATCCTTCCCCTCTATGCCATCTATGTCCTTTTTTCATGATGCCTTTACTATATGCTGATATGATTGATCTCGTGTGATCTGAATGAATAAATAGACCATTTGTTTCCCAATCCTACAACATGTAAGGCTGCTTGAGTATGGGCTATCAAAGAGATCATCCATCAACCTTTCACGACAAGCATGACCTGGAGTTCCTTCATACAATCTATCACCAATTTGCTCATTTCCATCTGGTCCCTCAACCTCCCCTGTATGAATGAGATCATTAGCCTCTTGACAGACCCAATCCATTGAGCCTCTGTTCTATTTAAGACCACGGCATTCCTCAAACCAGATAATCATGTTGTGAAGTATGAGACAACACTGGATCCAATGGACAGCAGCTCACAGATCATCTGCTGAATTGATGTTCTTGTGAAGGTCTTGAAGAGATTGAAACCACCCTTTCAATGCAGCAAATGCATGTTCAACATGAACATGGACCTATATAAATATGAATAAGGAAAAAATAGGGAATAAAAAATACAACAGACAGGTGAAAATTGAAGGTCCTTTGATTTACTGTCAGCCTTCCATTGTGGGGTTTCTTGAAAGGGGGAATACACCAGGTGTTCAGTGGATAAGCACTGTCTGCCCAGATCCAGTGATTGGCTGGAAGAAGTGTGTCAATACAAGTGGATCTAAAGGCATATATATGCATCATGGACACTTCCAGGGTGACCAAGAGAATAGTTGACAATCAGAAGGTTGTGAGGCATAATCACTGCCTTGAATTTATTTTAATTTTAACCCAAAAAAAAAAAACTTACTTGACAGCCAAGGGAATATTTTGATATCCTATCATAAAAAAACCTGGTGGTAAAAACCAGGTGTTGCATACAGATCAATTGATGTCCAATCAACAGCTAGAACACCATTCTGCCACTCAGGGCAGGTAGTTACCCATGCAGTATACCTCCGAGCATGCTCAAAGTCCTGTGAGTCATGTGGAGGGAAGCTCATGAGTGTGTCATGCTGATAGAGCAGTGCAAAAATTACACAGTTAGTGCAATTAACAACTGAACTAACACTAACACCAACCCATTGAGCCATGTCTTCAAGAGTGATGGTATTACTGTAGTGGCTAGCACGGTTAAGAAAAATCGCAAGTTGAATAGAGACAGGAAGCTGGGGGTTGTTTGAATTGTTCTGAAAAATGGGCTGGTCAGAGATCTGATCGAGAATGTTGTTGAAGATTTCGAGGACATCTCGCTGCTCGCCTTGCACAACCAAAACCAACATTCATTTACTCCTGCAACAACTGCCACGAGGAAGTCCCATGGACTCGCTGTAAATCTAATGAACGTGGAAACGAGGGCCACTGGATGGCAATAGTAAGTCGTTTTTTAAGACAGTTGGGTCTTAACTGATATCCAACCTTAGTGCAGAAAATTCTTGAGCGATACTCAAGTAAAATGTACTTTCTTCCGCTGGGCACAAGGCCCTTCTGGCTCACCCACACTACCCTCCAACAAGTTTGAACCTCTTGCGACACAACTTAACCCTGTCCCTCAGCCTACCCAATTGAATGCTGCAGCACTCCTGCTGATCTGTGCTGCTCTTGTCTGTAAGAAGCGTGCTCATTCCCTCTGCAGGAACCATACTTGTCGCACACACTGTGGCCTTCTTGGTGGCTGCTCCGTAAAGGGCCATACTGCAGCTGCACAACTGAACCCAATGTTAGAGCTTCGACCTCGTCTGTCATCATTACCGCCCTTACCTGCTGTCGCCACCGAGTCCGTCTATGCCCCCACTCAAGATGATGTTGAGCCTGGTCTTGATCAGTTGCTGCGGGTCGACAAGGGCAAGAGCCGGGCTGTCGAGTCTCATGACTCAAACATTGACCCTGTCCTGCTCTCGCTCCCTAATCCCAATCCTACTGGTACTTCCCCCGCTGTTGTGGGCTCATCACAATCTAAATGAGGTGCTCCTCAATATGCCACACAGATGCCTGCAATTTTCACTCAGCAGAATGCTCGTGAGGAAGAGTTGCAGGAAGATAGACGCCAGCGTGATCTTGAGCGTGTCCAAGCTGCTCAGTGAGAGAAGAACAATGTTGTGGTCTATGCTTGGAGTGAGGTAAGATCTTGTTTACTGTGTTTTTCAACTAATATTGATACTGTCTGACTAGGATGGCATTGAGCCCATCATATACGAGTTCCAGGATGGGTTCAAGTTACCCAACTTTTCCTTTAGTCTTGACGTGCTTCATAAGCTTGGCATGGTCTCACATGACAAGAGTGTTCTTGCTACCACTATTCTGCCCATTCAACACTACAACTGTCTTCTGGGCACCTGGACCCACTTCGATATTGGGCACATGGTGTCATTGCAGGAACGTGACAACAGCATCCTGCTTGTGAAGGATCCTCACGTGAAGGATTGTGTAGACCTTGAACACCATCTCCACCAGCTCATCAAGTCCCCACCATCAATTGTGCTTTGAAAAAGGGTTGTCTACCTCGTATCCCTCACCCTCATGATGACAGCTCTGTATTATCTCTTACTGATGATGATGACAAGCCAAATCTTACTTCAAAGCACCGTTATTCCTCTACACTGTCCCTCTCAGATGGTGACCGTGACAATGTGACAAACACTGTCCGTCCAACAAAGCATCAATGGAAGCAGCATCACCGTTCACCCTCCGAGTCATCAAGCTCCTCCTCACATTCTCCTTCATCCATCATCTCAGTGCCAATCGTGAAGAGGCAGAGTACTGGAAGCCTGCTTTCACTTGGAACCTCGCAGGCGAATGCTATTGAAGTCGAGAAAGTGTCTATATGGCCAACGGACTTTTACGTTGTTGACATTGCTGACGGATTCACAATGTGCAGGATGGCTGCCATGGGTCGATGAAGTGTGGTGGACGTGTTTGTTGGTCACTTCGGTGTCCCCTTCAAAGCCTCAACCTTCTATGACAATTGAAAGGTTTGGCAGTTCAGTGCTAACCATGGACTTTGTGAGCACTTCATTGAGTATGGTCGCACGGAGAAGGGGTCTTGGTCTGCGTTCACGAACAAGGCAAAGTGACCTCCGAAGTAAGGTCTGAATTTGTTTTCTTTTTACATGTGCCCTCGATTTGTGTTTCACTTATGACTAGTAGTATTATACCATCCATTTTACTTGTACATGTACCACACTCGTTGTAATTTCACTTGTAGTGTTACTCTCAATATGACTATGTCGTGGCCACATGTGAGGGTTTTTCCCATCCTGTCTCAACTTTTCTTCCGTGCGACGGTTCCTTCGCAGGATCAGCTCATCGCAAAAGAAGTTGAACTTGTGGGCCAGCATCTTGCGACAGATTGGGTGGTATTCACCAAACCAGTTGTTTGTTTGCTCCACGACAGAGGAGTTGAAATGCCAACCATTTCCGTCATCAGCAATGAGTTCCGGAAAGGCTCTGGGATTGCAATTTTCCTGACAGAAGGTATCCATCTCCGAATGCTTGCATTGGAAGTGAAAAACATCAACGGATAAGCCGATGTTGTTGAAAAATGGTTCGTCTTTCACCATTTTTGCCAATGTGCAGTTGTTGTCGAAAGAAATATGGTTGGGCTTGCTGATTGAGTCCTCGCTAGCATAAACCTCCTTGATGAATTGCTATATAACTAATGAATTAAGTACATATCAAAGCTCAGTTATAGACACATACCACGACACTCACAACTCCTTCAGCTCCAAAAAAGTTTGATGAGCAATGATCATCCCACAGGGAGCAACAATCAGTTGCTCATTGTGGGTGCGGCGACGACCAAATGTTGCTTTGATCTTTTTTTGTTTAGGCTGTAATGCAGGATCTCCACCCTGGGATGGTTTTGAGGCTGGAAGTACTCTCCCACTTTCATCAAATTCATACTCTTCTTGTACATCAGGTTGGGATTCAGCATCGAGTTGATTCAGGTCTGGAAGCAGTATTGTGTTCCTCTTCTCAGCAATGGCAGCCTGGGCACGGGCAAGTTGTTCTTGGAGCTGGAATTGAGACTGTCCATGTAAGACATGTGTCTCTTCGACTCGTTGGTGTTCCAGCATTGAACATGTGCGATGACCTCCGACAATGGGCAATGTACACCCAATAACAGCACACTCATTGTTTTGGCTGGTGTGAGTACGGCAAAACCGATGATGATTGTTGGAAAGTGGAATATGACAGTTGTAAACAGTGCAACATGGATGTCCGACGGTAACACCATCGACAACAATAACAGAGACCTTATGGACTAGTTTGAATTGCTCAGTGGTGCTGTGGTGTCACACCTCGAGCCAATGATACTCACAATTGCCCTCAGGATCAGTGTACATCCGAGTACATTTACCACAGTGGTGACGATGCACATCATCATAGCCATAGAGCTGTGTCCGACGATTTCTCGCAATCATTGCGGTAGTGAAGCGATCACATTGTTTGCCAGTGTGAGGGATGGTCAGGGAACATTTTCGATGTTCACAGTCTTCAAGAAGCGAGGAGGTAACATAGCCATCCCATACATGGTCTACGTAAACTTCGAACTTCACTCCGTATGATGCTGGTGCTTGCTTGCCACATGAGAGACATAGGTTATAGAGCCGTGCACAGTTAGTGGCTGATGTCCTGCAAGACTGAGTATCGAGATATGAGTTACGTGGCTGATCACTTACCACGCAAGGTCCATCGCGGTCTTAAAGAGCTCGATGACCTCCTTCGCCATGTAGACGTGTTCGGCAACTTGTATGTTAGGAGGTTGGTCCTCGTAGTATGTCTGTTCCCCTTCAGATACACTGTAATTGTAGTGGTAATTGATCTTACATGCTGGGGAGGGTGTACAATGAGCAATATACCTAAGAACGAGTGAGAACGAGTGACTACTTACCTTTGCAGTAAAGGTCAACCGATTTCGCTGTGCAGGGGCCACTAGCGAGAGTAAAGAGGACGACGTAGTGCTGCTTCGCCTTGTTAAGCATCATGCCTTTAGCATGACGTGAGCAATTCAATTGAACACAATAATTGTTTGGGGGGTAGAGGAGATGCTCGGCTTTAAGTAATGAGTAATGACGAGCACGAACATTGACACTGTACATACCTACTCCCCTGTGCATCCCTTCTGTCTCCCATAATTCTCCTGTATCCATTGTGATCCCTCCAGTCCAGATAATGTCCTTCAGCATGGCACATGCATCACTCACTTGAGCAGGGATATAGAGCACCCTGCACCAAGGAACTTAGCAATTGCAGGGGGGAGAACATCTGGAGGCTCGTTGATTGGTGTCGATGATGGTTCTGCGAGGATGATGTCATTCTTGAGTGTGGTTCCAATTGTGATGAAAAGGAAAAGAGAGCTGATGGAGGCAGTGGTTATTGCATCAGAACTAAGTTCAAGCTGTTGGATAAGCAGTTGGAAGGAGCTCATTGTGCAAGTATTGTCGATGGTGTTGATGTCACGTCGATGGTAAAAGGCAACAGAAGACTCGTGGACCCGGATGGAGCCGGATGGACCCAGACGGACCCAGACGGATGGTGCCGGAGTTTCCAGATCCCTGACTTTCTAAAGATTTCTGGATCAACACATATTTTGTGGTGGAATAAGTGAGGGCAATATTCACCAAAATGAACAAGGAGATGAAGTTGTGGGGCTCGTGGGAGGGGTTCATCAGGCCTGTGGAGTACACAAGTCTTTTTAACCTCATCCCACAGAGTGGTGATGGTGTCTTGAGCACAGTTGTAGTAGTGTGTAAGATAATTGTGGTTGTCGGATGAGTTAGAGTCAGAAGAATCAGAGAAAACAGATAAGACAGGGGAATGAGGTGAAGGAGGGGTAATGTCATATACCGCACACTGAGCCCCTGAACCATATCCCATCTCTCCCAACAAACAATGTCCAGACCTCTGAAACATAGCCAGAACCCTATCCATACCCCTCAGCAGGATCCGCCCTGCTTCCCCTAACCTGTCAATACAAAGTCCGGATCTCCTATACATCAGACCTCCTATTCATCGGACCCTAAACGTCGGACCCACTCAGATCCTGAGCCTCAGACCCACTTAACCCCTAAAAATGTCAGATCCACTTCGCAGTTCATCTCCGTCCCCATTTCCCATGATCCGCTTGACAGTTCATTTCTGGTCCTGCTCCTATTCTGTTACCCCATTTGTATAGTCCCCTTGTCCTAACCCCTATATGCCCAGATCTGCTTGACAGTTAATATCCGACTTCATTCTCGATCATATCTCCTATGCCTGGATCCATTTGATACTTCATCTCTGTCTCCATTCTGGATCGTTCCTGTATTATTTTCCTTGCACCTGTCAGTTTAACCTTTCCATATGTTCCTGTCATTGACCCGGATCCCCGCTGACTCCATCCCCATTGCAACATGTCCATAGTATATAATACCTTGTAAACTCATAGTAGTTTCCTCAGTTCAAATATCACCTTAGATTATCCTCATTACTGTTTCCTGGGATCCAGACCTATTTCCATGGGCCCGGGTCCACTTCCCTGTCCAAACTCTGAGTCCTCAGATTGATTCCTTGTACTATATCTCCGCCTCTACCTTAGGGTCGTCTACCTCTGTCAGTTTCTACTCTAGACATTGTCTAGTGTAGTCTTACCTCTAGCTTCCGCATTCTCGGACTTCCTGTCTTTCTGTCCCCTTGGACTTCCTGTATTTCCATCCTCTTGGACTTTCTGTCTTCCTGTCTTTCTGTCCTTACACCTGTCTGTTCTGTCCGCCATGTCCAGCGGACTAAAGCCCCTATTTTCCGGCGGACTAATCCTCTTATGTCAGCCGGACTAATCCCCTTATGTTGGCCGGATGAATTCCTGTTATGTTGGCCAACGAACCATCCTTACGTCAGCCGGACGAACCCCCTTTACGTCGGCCGGACTAATCCTCTTATGTCAGCTGGACTAACCCTATGATCGCCCGGACTTACCCGATGATTGCCCAGACTAACCCTATGATCGCCCGGACTAACCCTATGATTTGCCCGGACTAACCCTATGATCGGCTGGACTAACCCTCCTTACATCGGCCGGACTAACCCCCTGAACATCGGCCCGACTCTTCCTCAGAAGAGCCTACCAGACTTGTCCCCTTGAAGTCCACCGGGATTTATCATCCTCCCTCAGACTTTGTTTCTAGCCTTCGGAAATTAAGGGCACATACTTGGGTAAGGGGCGCAGTGCACGAGCTGAAGCCAAGCCCTTCGGATCCACCCCCTTTAGCACGGTCTTAACAGGTAAGCATGATGTTCATGAAAAGATCGAGATCTGAGTCATGGGTGAGGTCTAGGGATGCAAAGCTCGAGTTTCAGTCAGAGTCCATAGACTTTTCCATGGCATGCTGGTATCACACCCTGGCTAATGCAAGTGCGCTCTGGTCAATGTCATGCAGAATTTGTGCACGTCTGGACTGAGGAGGCATGGTGGGGTGTGCTGGGAATCAGGGGATCAAATCTCCTATCTACTCGCTGCATATGTGGCGTTGTTTGTAGCGGAGTTTGAAATTCTGGAATAATCTGAAGTTTCAGCTCATGCAATAAGTTTGTGTTATTGTTGACCTCAGCTGTATTGTTGTTGATCTCCGAGCTTTAGTAAACATTTCATTTCTTACTCTGAGTGACCCTAATGCCTGTACGAGGCATGTTAATTACTTGGCCTAGTAGGAGCTCCTTCGGCAAAAACTTCAACATGGGGAGTATGCAGTAGTTCAGAGCTGTTACTGCCTCGTCAAGGTGTTTCAACCAGCTGTTGGGTAGTGTGTCCCAGGAGATTGCTTTGTAGTTGTCTTCGCCCAAGTTTGGCACGCAGAGGTGTTTGAGTACATGCAGAAATATTTTGTTAGTACCTTCTACAAGCCCATTTATCCATGGTGCATATGCTGCTAACACATGTGTCTTGCAGGACCAGTCTGCGCAGAAGTCTCAGACCTCTGAGTTGTTGAAATGCTTACTCCCATCACTCACGAATGTTTCAGGTGCCACAAAGTTGTGGAATATTTGCGTGAGGCTGTCAACCGTTGTCTTCGCGGTGCCTGTCGACTTGTACTTGTGAACCCAAATGTGCTGTGAGAAGGTATCTAGGTACACTCCTAACGTGCTGTATCCACTGGCCTTCGGTAGTGTTAGGTAGTCGCCTATGAGTAATTCAAAGGGATGTCTGCATGTGATAGGTTTGAGAAGTGAGTGTAAGTGTGGTGCTCCAAACTTTTTGCACTTAGCGCAATCTGAAATGACCGATGGAGGGAACTAGTTCCCTGTGGCCTTGTATTTACAGTTTCTACCTAGCCTTACTTACCCCTTTCCTTTGTTTATGTTGGCATTTGACTGTTGGCATTTGACTGCTTACCTAATCATCAAAATCTTCGCCCTACACTTCCACTCATTAGCAGTATTTAGTTCATATTCTGGTAGCTCCCCTTCTAGGGTTAAGTAGTAGCTTCCCCAGTTTGTAGCTTCTCTGGTTGTAGCTTCTTAGCTCACTAGTTTGCTCCTGATACCAAGTTCTAACCTCATTGTCTGGAGTGACACCCTCCCTCTCTCACACACACACACACACACACACTCTCTCTCTCTCTCTCTCTCTCTCTCTCCCTGCTTGAGCACTCCCTAGTCAAGAAAGCCTGGGTCTTACATTGTCTCTCAAGACATAGCAGCTAGGCAGCAAGACCCAACACCTTCTGCTACTCAGCAGATTTGTTGTCCCCACACCGACATGATTAATGCATCTAATCTTGGGCTGTAGATACAATATGTGAGTGCAATTTTAATCACATTGCGACCCCAATGTCCTTTTTCATTGTGTTGCTTGATTGTGAGTTGTTTGCTTCTTCCTGGGTGACACATTCCACTCTATCTCGTGCTCGTACTGCGGTGCCTCCACGAAGACATGACAGCTTCCCATCATCAATCATGTACTGGGATGCTCTGTGCTTTGCGCATTTCTTGTCTCTGAGTGATCTTGTCGAGCCTAACTGTGCCATCAACTCAATGACTTCACTGAATATCAGCTCATTGATGAATCATTCCTGTAAACTCAATATTAGCTGTGGTTCAATTGTTGGAGCATTGAACGGGAGACACAGGGCATGTACAGCAATTGTACGTGGGACCAGGTATCAATTCTGCGGCGGACGGTATTGATGTGCTGAAGTATCTTGACTTTTTGAGTGTCCATGGCATGCTGTCCAATGCTCTTCCCCTCAAACTCAACACATCATCTAGGTAGAGCTGAGTTAGCTGTGAGTGTGACAAATAATGCGTATACACACTGCTGACCCTCTAGTTCTATTCCTGAACAGATAAGGACCAATGGTGATACATCATCATCCAGGGACATGTGCTCACCACGCTCGATTTCTTTTGCCTTGGTCTTCAATAATGCCAGATGCATGGCGGCCTGGGTCACCACTGTTAAATTACCCATTAGTGACATAGAGGTTTAGGCACAAAACAGCACTTACTAGCCCCCGTCTTCACTTTGAATGGGTTTGGCAAAGAGTGGTCCAACTCCCACATCTCAATATCTGTTCCCCACCCAGCTAATTGGTCAGCATCAAGGGCAGCCTCAAACTTGTCAAGATCATGAGCACATTCTTCAACCTCAGGCACCGTGGTCTTATATTTTCGGAGAAGAATGGCACCTGTAGGAGTAGCTTAGCTTTGAACACTAATCAATAGAATAATCACTCACCCATAGCACAGACTTTCTTCCAATTCCAATCGTTAAGTGATCATCTATGGTATCTTGCCTGGATCCAGGTCCCATCTCACAAGTACTTGTAGCAAGAGGGTAAATATCTGCCCACCCATGCTCCAGAGCTTCGCCATCTGTCCGCCCAACACCATTGATAAAGTTGAACGAGAACCTGGTTTGACAATGAGTGATGTGCGCTGGTAGGTGAGATTTAGGTACAAGGAATGTAATAACCTTTTGTCGTGGTTGATATGATATTTGTGCAGGAATGCTGACATGCGCGACCAAAGGTTTTTGTTCCATTGGCAGGCAATGTTGTAGGATATGTTGAGGATGTGAACACCGTGTGAAGAATGTATGATTGAAAAAAAGATAACCTATGTTGATATACCTATGAATGGTGGGTTCAGAAACACGACTATGATATGATCAATGAACAAATGCACCTCTCCCCCTTTTGCAAATCACCAACTGAATAAGGGCATTTAAAATTATGCCACACACAATCAATGGTTCCTGCACCTGTTGTGATTGACTTTTTTTAGTTCTTCTTGGCCAACCATGTCCCCAGGGACTGGTGCCCCTAACTTTGGGATCTGAGGGTTGTGTTCTTGGCCAACCATGTTCCCAGGGACTAGTGCCTTGGACTTTGGGATCTGGGGGATATGCTCTTGGCCAACCATGTTCCTAGAGACTGGCGCCTTTACCTTTGTCCAGCTTTTGCGCCTATTCACCTCTTTTTCAGATTTTCCGCCTGCCTTGTTGAGCCCCCCTTTTTCTTCTTCTTCAAGTATACTCCAGTACTACCACATTTTTTCTCTAGCTTTCTATAACAGTTTCTTGCTTTGTGCCTGTCTGGTTGAGCGGGTTTTTCTTCTTTCAATCATACTCTAACACTAACTGCATTTCTTTCTCTAGCTTTCTATATCATATTTTGATTTCACCATTCCTTGGTTATTTTTCAAACTGGTAAGTGCTGGTTTAATATTCAACATCATACTGACTTCCACTACATTAGATTATTAGTTACTTGTTTTTGTTTATTTTTGTCAATATTGTACACTTTAGATTAGATGAAGCCATAGCGCAAATGTATTGCCCTTTATGGGGTATTTTGATGTCATGTGATCCTTATTTTTTTGCCAAAATTGATTGTCACGTGATCATGAGAGTGCACCTTAAAGGGTAATAATGTCTAGAGATTATATCTGTTGAATTTACAATGGAATAATGCACCTTGAAATACTCTCTGCTACATCTACATGTGTGCATCTTTCTCAACGAAACTCCGGCAGCATGCCTAGCCCAAGATGTCGGATTCGGTAATGTTTTATGGTCAAATATCAAGGCTTTTAAATAGCTTAAATCTTGCATTTCACCTTCATTCACTCTACCTACACTACCATAGGAAGACATGGACTTCGTCAACCTCCATAACAAAGATGGGATGCTTATTAACGAAGATGAAACCCGAATCACTAAAACAGTGAGTATTGTATATCTTGTGGTCATTTATATTCACACTTTGTTCCTCCTTTCACACTACATAAGGAGAGATGGACGGTGTCGGCCTCATTGAGCAAGATGCAATGCTCATTGACCAAGACATCATAAACACGGTGAGTATATTGTGCCTTGTGGTGCTTTATATTGACACTACACTCCTCCTTCTACACTATCATAGGGAGATATGGACATCATCAGCCTTGATGACAAGGATGCGATGAATATTGACGAGGATAAAGATGATCAGATCATGGTATATGTATCACAATATGTCTTGCAGTGCTTTCTATTCACACTGTATTTATCCTTTTTTTTTACTAACATAGGGAGACGTGGATGTTGTTGGCCTCAATGAAGATGCAATGATTGTCATTGATAACTATGAACATAGTCAGATGGTGTGTGTGCTAGTCAGTCCCACATTGTGCTTCTATTAACACTGTGGTGTTTCTCATCCACTACTGTAGGAAGGCATTTGGATGTAAACAGTATGGGAGCACTACACCTTTGATAAATGTTGAAGTCTGACTGTGCTATAGTGGTATCAATTTGCAGCTTTATCATTTACCAGGGAAACTGGAGATACCTCTGAATGTGAACAATGTACTAGTGCTATCATACAACATCTTATTGTCTATATAGACGACATTCTTATATTCTCGCACACTCCTAATGACTGTTACGATAACATACTTCGGACCGGCCCCCCTATCTTTTCTCCTATCATGTACTACCATATGACGCCTTATCACCTTCTTATACAGCATCCTTGATCGCCGTCTTATCTCGTATCTCTTATCTTGTACCCTGTACCCTTACCATTGCCTTGGTAGTCCTGCCCTGAACTGACCTTTACCTATAAGTAGTTGATCGTCTTGCCTTGTATTCTTTGACTTGAATCTACTCAGTATTCTGATAGACCTTCCTTGAGCAAGACAGCTCTCGTATACGATTTCACTCAAGACTCTTCGTCTTAGTGCCTTTACTTGATCGATACCATCAGTCTTGTCTTCGCTTGCTGACTCTTGTCACCAAGCTTTGACCCAAACGATAAACGATAAACGAACCTCTGCATTATCTTCGTCTCACGTTGAGACTTAGTACAGAGCTCTTACCTGAGTCTACGCTTTCAGCGTAACAATGACCAGAAGAAACAAACCCACCACATACTGAAAATGCTCAGGAAAGAGTCGCTCTTTCTGAAACCAGACAAATGCACAAGAAATGGAATACCTCAGTATGATCATTCAACCCAGACAAGTTGCAATGGATCCAGCAAAATTAAAAGGGATCAGTGACTGGGAGTCTCCTACCTCAGTCACAGAAGTCTGATCATTCCTAGAATTCTGCAGCTTCTATCAGCATCACTTCTCCCATATTCTCTCGGTGTCTTAATACTATATAATAAGGCCAGGATTATAATGACAACACAAGCAATACCATAGCATTACCACTGCCAGAATTAAGGAAGATCAGGCCATATCACAGCAATTCAAATGCCAACAATCAAGCAAAATGAGACCATATCAATGCAATTTTTTCACCAAAATCAAGCCAACTTGCATACAGATTCTGACCTCAGCCAACAGATCACCCAGTCAAGCAAGACAATAAGGAAGAACACAGCAGGTGTAGCCAAGAGATGTGTTGGTTCATGCCCATCAACAATATGATGGAGGTCAACTCCGGTCACACCCACACTGTTGACAATTACACGTCAGTGTTGTTTTCTTCCATCAAATTTCATTATCAAGCTGCTGGTTGGAAAGGGCCCCAAAGACATGCAGATTTTGACCATGAAGATGGTGGGCATGCACATATTTATGATGACAGGATGGGACTGGTAGAGGAAAAATTTGAACAAGCAGATAGAATAGGAGGCTCTGCCAGTGATACAAGCACTGATGATGAAAAGCATGTTTGAAAACTTGTACCATCCTCAAATCCTCACTGATCTGATGATTGGCGATCTGTGTCAGAAAATTCAATATATTATGAGGACAACAACCTATTGACTTATTAGGCTATTGCCTTAGAGAAGAACCACTGAATACCCAATGATACTAGTTCACACAAGTTCAGTTTGTTAATGACTTCATTCAAACCCACCTTAATGGTGGTAGTGCCACATGATACAAGATGTTGCCATACCCAAGTATCTCATTGTGAAAAATATAATGGCACAACAAAGAAATATAAAACTACTATAAAATAGTAACTATGTGGGTCTTGCTAAGCCTAGGCTAATTTGACCCTTAGTAGTGTCTTTAGGCTGAAGACAAGATAACTAAAGATTGAAACATTGGGTCCAAAGGTGATAAAAACAAAATCCAATGTTTGGGAAAGTGTAGGCCTAATGAGCAGAAACTACAGGTTTGACAGGTGATGATGGTACAGGACAAAAAATAAGCAGAAAACATTAAAAATAAGTTCAAGGAGTCAATGTAAGGGAATGACAAGGGTTTAGGTTGCAATGAGTGGGTAATGTTTTGCTTTTCCCCTCCCTATTTAACTTGATTTGATCATTTATACTAAGGCTAGGTAGCAGAGTACCACTTCCTTTCAATTACTTTCTAGAGGATTGAAATGTTTGATGGCTGGGGGCATCTGGGCAATAGGTTTGGATTTCATAACCCCCTGGCCATGATCTTTGAGCAGGTGAGTACAAATGTACCCACTACAACGCACTGTTTTTTTTCTGACTCTCTTCCCTTTTTCCCCATCCATAACCATGATAAAATTGATTAGATATATTATTGGTGCTGGATTGAAGGCAGACCCAGAAGGTGCTATACAAGTAGCAGATGTAGAGGCAGCGGGTGCAGCTGGAGCAGGTGCAGAAGGGCCAGGTACTAGGCCAACAGAAAAAGGTGTGAGGCAGGAAGAGCAGGTGCTAGGTAGGGAGGTGCTTGAGGGAGAGGTGCTTGAGGGAAAGGTGAGTTGAGTTGAGGGTCTGGTCCAAGAAAAGTGTGTGAGTACAAGTCAGGTATCTAAACACTATCACTCACTGTTAAACATCTCAAATAAAGGGTTGTCATTGTATGGTGTGGAGACATAAGGTTGCTCTCCATTGAAGGAATCTGGTGGAAAGTCTTCTTCAATGCGACAAATTATATCTTGAAGATCTTGGCCATCATCCCAGGGATAGTCTGAGTGATTGTTCTAGGGATAGTCTGAGGGTGAAATGCCCATGCTGAGCGCTGGAAGGTCGCAGTGATATTTAGATTCACTGAAAAATCATTAAGCCTACACAGAGACCTCTAACCATAACACAGCTTTCACCCACAGCAGTCAAAATACAATAAATTGGAGTTTTCCCAGGAGACCCTGGTGCTCAGGGACCAAATGCATAAGTTAACAGCAGACATTTACAGATAAGTGCCTGAGCAACTAAAAGTGTCCACATAATATGAAGCTGCCTGACTTGGAAGTGGGTAAAGAACTGGAGGTGGAGGAAGCTGGACCAGCACAGAGAGTAGAAAGCAGATGCAGGAGCACGAGGAAGAAGCACAGAAGTGCTGGACCACATGCGCCTGAGTGGCATAGACAATGACACCCTCGACCTATTGGAGGAGACACTGTTGACGCAATAGTAAGAGAACTAGCCGCTGCTTGTCCCTTATCAGGAACTTTAAATCTTGAGATTTATGTGATCTTAATTGAAGAACTTAACGGTAATGTTCTCTGGGAAGAAGTTTCACTCCCCAAAAATACTAAGTCCATCATGAACTCCATCTTCATGAACTCCAGGAGGGCCCATCTTCATACCCGCTGGCAGGCGCACCAGTGGTGGGATGTGGCAACTTGATACAACAAATGCCCAGCCAATGGCATTGGTGAGTACCATGATAAGCAGATTGAAGTTTGAATTTAAGCTGGAAAATTGGGTAAGCACAATTTAAAACATATATGGATTTATTAAGCTGTGCACATATGACAGTGCTTGCTAAGAGGTGTTATGGGTCGCATAAGAGTAAGGGGTACAAGGAGGCCAGTGATGTGCCACTCCACTCTGGGAGCAGCTGTTTGATCTACAACACCTCAGGCTAGGGAGGCTATCGGCCATGTCAAAGAGTCTTTTTGTTGGTTATATGGTTATTCTCCTCTACAGTACACTTTTCTATCCTTTTCATGGTCTCTATATGTACATATTCATTACCCATATTTCCCTGACCATTCACTCACTTTCCTGACCTCTCTAGGACTTGTTTCTAGATCGAGTTATTCCTTACCTTTGTGTTGTGGCTTGTATGTTTACATTTGTTTACCATACATTGCCCATATCCCAGAGTCTAGTGCTCCTTGCCTCTTTGGCAACTTACTCTGGACTCTAGTCCTGATCATCTGTAGTGACTCAGGAGCCTCTAGAAGCGGTCCATTCACTTCCTATTATAACAGAATCATCGTTGTCAGGAGCTCTGGATTGGGGGGAGAACCCTTGGGAGGAGGCACCCACAGCTACCACTAAACCTCAACGTGGTTTAAATGTATGTCTACTCACTCATCTAATGTTTTCAATTCAATTAATTCACTACAGTCATCAACAATTGCGACAAGCCAGGCCAATTCTGGCCTGATGGCCAAGAGCCTGCTTTCAAGGGACAAACACACCGCAAATGTGTTTTTGTCACCACAGGCAAACATCAACCGTGCAAAGAGATTACCAACAATCACAAGCAGATCAACAGGCTCAAGGATGATGTTTGGCACACGTAATCATTCCATCTGAAGACCCACCACATACTGCCCTTGCCCCCTTGCCCCCCCCTACCATCACTGTAATTCCTGAAGACCCCACCATTTCTTTGACAATTGTCAAGGTTCCAATCGCAAAATAGATTGATAGAGGAGTCAAACCATTGGACCCTGACGATCTTGACCTACTTGATGAGATCATGGAAATACCCGCAGCATTATACTACCAGCTGCTTTCTCGCTTAGACTGTGAAGGGCATTTTAAAGTTCAAGTTACCTGATATTTATGGCACCTGCTTCACACGACAGCAGACTCGTCGTTTGACAGTGCTCATCCAAAGGACAAGGTCAGAATCCCAACACTCATACCTCCCAAGGCATGGGTGTATAGCCTAAGAACCACAGTCAACACTGCGATCTGGGACGGCAAGCGGTCCATTCTTCACCCTCCTCTCAAACCTCAGCCACTGCCTCTCTGGATATTGGCTCTCTGGGAGAAGGCCCACACAGTGCGCAAAGTTCAAACAGCACACGCATATTCAGAAACCATCCGGGAAGTGGATAGAACACCTCCTACCGATAGTGTTCGCATTGAAACACACTTTGACATCCGAGCAAAAGTACAAACCATTCTTCCTAGAATTTGCGGCCTGAAGTTTGGGCTGGATAAACTCTCAGACACCATGTGGGGGTTCCCCATGGAAATAGAGACTGACTGTCAGGCCCTCAGAGACGTACTCCTTAATGATCACATGAATGTGGCCCACGCATGCTGGAGGGATGGCATTCTTGCTCATCACATAATTAATGTTAGACACATACCGGGAAAACTGAACATTATAGCTGATGAACTGAGTAGACAATGGGAAGGACAACTAAGGGACATTGGGTTAATAGATGTTAGTGACTGGACAGTAAGCGAAGATTGGGAAGCAAGCAGTGGATTAGTTAATGATATCCCGCCTGTGATCACCTGATGACATTACCTCTGAGGACAAGGTCCACAAGATCAATCTTTTTCTTCCTTCTTTGCTACCCTCAAGCTTTCTGTGTGATGTTCACTTGCTAAGGTATGAATGGGATTTACATGAAGCCCAAGCAAATGACACTCTCAGTGATCTCTGCACTGTCATTAATATGACCTACCACCTCTACAAGTACAAGGATGCTTTTGTCTGAGGTCAGTGTGTGAATACTCGTGCTCAAGGTATTATCCATTCAGCTAAAAGCCGAATCAATGCAATATTGGTCAAGTACACTGCCGCCAGAGATGCGCTTGTGATGCTTGCATCAAAACTCGGTAAGAATGATGATTGGCAGCGGATATTGAAGCCACTAGACAGGACAAAGGACACAGTCCCTCTCAGACACAATGAAGGGAAGACAGTCAGCCCACAGAATATTTCATGGATATGGAAAATGGCCGGACTACAGGATTGTAAGTCTTCGATCATAATATGTATACATTGTTTAATATGCTGTAGCGCTACACGTGGAATGGTGTAAGGCGAGGGCTCGAGCTCACCGGTGGGAGGAGAAAGTACTGCTTTTGCATGAGGAAATGTGCTGTGTTCTTGCTTTCTTTGAGTGGCAGGCTGGATGGTGAGATAAACAAGGTGCATGACACCAATTTGTCTCACATGAATTCATGGAGGGGGCACTCGCATATGCACATTGCCAGGCTACACTATGTCGCTGAATGTCTACACACTTCAGGTTATTGGTTCCCACTGCAGTTGAATATCACGCTGTACACTAGGGAAACATTGGTAGATGTCTAGCCCCAGGGCCTCCCATCCTTGGGGTTGGAGTATGCAAGGACTCTGGTATCAACCACACATTGTCAGACATTGTTTTGGCCAACATAAGTGTCAGCAAACAAGATCATGACTGGTGATTGGTTGAGGCCATGTAGAGACTGGGCTTCAATCCACTTCAAAACCAACCCAGCCGTGGTGCGAGTGCCTCACTGTGCACACATTCATGAGTATGAATATTCAGACATTGTCAGATGATGCAGCTGCTGCCTCTAGATCTAGTGATAATCCCACCCACAATGGTCTTTCTTATGACGACACAACTAGTACTGCTTCTCATCATCCTCCCATACAGCCAGATTTCTGCATCTACTTTTTCATCTGCAAGAAATGCTGCTCAGCTCATCAAGACCCTTGGAGATCTTAGAAATATAATTCAGACACAATGAAGTGAGCATCACTGATGACCCTACCACCTTTTATAATCTGAATTTAAGCAGCAATCTTCCCACCCCCTCCATGTAATATAAGTATTTCTATATTCAGTGAAAAGGACTTATGTAACCTCTGTGAGTGTTTTAATGATGGGGTCATACTACCCATGGATTGATTATAAATGGACCACGGGCCTGACAACCAATTGCACAAGCTGTTAGAGAGACAGAAATGCAACTTACGGGATGTTCTAGTTGCTTATGATAATAATGACTTGTGACAAATTGGGTGCATTGAATCTGACGAGTCACAAGTGACAAGATTGTGGCCTGGATATTCCCTTTACCCTGTGCTTAGTATAAGGTATCATTTACAAATACTGACTCAACATGTCTGTGATGAAGAATGGATAGTCTTGTCAGCACTGAGGATTTTTTCTGTGGACAAGGCTCAACTTTTTGTGGTGTGCATTGACTCTAATTCTCAAGAGACTCCTATAGGGCAAGTGGTTTTGAAATTTCCCTTAGCATATGGTTGAGATAAAGGAGTAAGTGAAGTTGTTGTATGTAATAGTTATGCAGACATCGTGGCACAGATACCTACAGTACCAACTCACCTGTGATTCAGACATATATGTTATCTCCTTGCCAGTGCATCCTTAGCCATCTGTAACCTTCATGGAGTGAAACCTCTAGATGTTGTCTAATGAAGTCATTTACCTAGTATTACACTTTGTTGGTGATCCAATTGGACGGTGACAGGACCATGACATGTGTAGCGGTTCTCAAAGATGTTGGGCTGAACATATTATCTGCATCCCCAGGCTGTAAGTGACTCGGTGGATGTGCAAGCGCACCCAACCAATTGAGACTGTCATGACAGTGACAAGTGACATCCCCAACCAAGGACTTCAGCATTAGCAATGACTTTGATGATGGTGGTTGAGGAAGAGGAGCAAGATATTACATGATGTTAGACAATGCTTATTTGTAGGGATGCGCATTGCGTGTGCCATAACCCATGCAAACAATGTGTCATGGGAATTTATCATATAATATTGACTACCGTACTGCAGGTGTCATCAGGAAGCAAGACATTGAGATAGGGCAGGTCTGCATTGATGAGGTATCCTCTCAACTGATGTCCTAGTGGTATAATGGTGATATTCCTTCTCAATGTGATACCTGGTTCTTTCAATTAGATTTAATAACAACAGGTCAGCAAGTGCGCAATGTACCATGAAAAATTAGGACACAATAAAGCATTATGCATTCATTACATGAAAATTACTGCACATAAACTGATCTACTCTAAAAGTACAATACAGGAGTCCATCTCACTATTGCATACAGAGTGTCCGACTGGTGCCTATACACCACTGTTATTGCCCTGCTGCATATTGCCGATTCCAAAATGAGGTGCGGGGCTGAAGAAATCATTATGTTGAGACACCTGTGGCACTGCATAGTTTGTTCCTGATGTTCATCAGTGATATATGGGGCTGGTATGTGTCTCCCACTGGTTGTTGATAATGGTGTCCATTAACATGGTCCTTATCATGATATTGACATGCGTTACTGAAGACCAACATGCATCACTGTGAAAGCCTTTGAACAAATAAAACAGAACACAGAAGTGACACCACTGACATTGTGCTAAAGAGCACGTGCAATATCTAATGCATACGAATACATACAGTATGAATAAGGGTGCACGAGCAGTGTCAGTGTGGGGCCAAGTAGAAGTCCCAAAGTGAAGAGACCATTTTCAATAAAACAATTCAACACAAGAATGATTAAATTGTCTATGGTGGAACCACCACTGAGAAGATGAGAACAAAGTCGAATATGTTCCTGTCACAGCATCCAATCTGCACCTGGGTAATACAAATATTGAATTACTTACAAGTCTTTCATCATTTTCAGCAGTATGACACTGTTTGTGATGTAACCAGTGGGACCACAGGTGCATAGAACCAATCCACGAATGAAGGACGCAGAAGGGATTGCTGATATAATTCCCTAGCAGCTTTGTAAATTTGATGTTACATATTAGACACTTGATTCATTGTGAAAGGATTGGACTCACCTCCCATAGTGTGACGGACACCATATTGTTGACACCGCCCGATGTGACCAGGTTCACGGTTTCCATGTCAGCATGAGTGTCTACTAGGACCAACAAATTGTAATGGTAATTCATTTCGGCCACCCACTGAAAGTCTGGGGCGACCGCATGTGGGCAATTGTTATTGGACTAGGTTGTACGGGAAACTGTACAGAGAGCTTCACAAAATCAGTTGTTGATGATTCAGTTTCATTGGAAGATGATACCTTGTGCGGTTCTAAGCGAAATTGCTGCTCCAGGATCGCAGTTATTGAGTCAGCAACAAATGTCCAACCACAACTATGCCAGGTGAGGAAGATGCCCAGTAACGCCTGAGAGCTTTGTTTCAAAAATTTAGATCTGATTGCATAACCCTGAACCGTATACTACAACAAATATCAGGATAAGAAAATGTGGTTGATATCTGTACTCACAGGAATATCACAGTGTGGTTTCTTCAATATCAGGATGGACATATGAATGTGTCTTTCGTGACAAGTGGACATCCAGTTATAGGATTTCATGTGGCATCCACGCACCCTTGCTCGTCATTGGCCATTGCAACACAGATCGTGATGCGATACGGGACTCCAAGCCCTATGCATGTCCAGATGTGTAATCCAACATCCGTGCAATAAATACATAGCTATGCAGAGCCTCAGTGATGTATCTAGATTCAGATGCAACATTCTCACTGGAAGATCATTAGTGCATACAAGCACAGGACGCTGTGGACAATGACCATAAAACTCGCTGCTGTGATCAATGAAGGGTTATTGTGCATTATCCTTGAGGAGGGAGATCTTATTGTAAGAATTTTGATGCATCTGGTTCGTCTCTCAGGGCCAATGATAAGAAACTCCTCCAATGAGCCCAGCTTTATGGAAATGGGCAGGCAATCATAGACAAAACATTGATCTGGTTGATCAAGCACTATCGAGTCCTTTGTGGAATTCCATGGGATGAGGACTTCAATGGCAAACTAATGTCGCAGAGCCTGAATCAGGCCTCCCTCCAAGACCATGATGATTACTTAGAGGCACTGGGTCTCAAACGATTCTACGTCACATTAACTAATTTGGATGACAGTCCTTCACACCTCATGCACCTTTTCTGCACCATGGGTAATGCTGCACTGACAATGAATCTATTATCCAACAGTAGCTCCTCCTCCATTGATTACATGGAGCCAATGCCTGTGCTTTTGTTGAGGAGTGTGAAAAATCACCGCATGGTGGCTCCGATCGTTGAAGAAGATACAATGGTGCTCAATGGCTTTGTAGCTATGTGCATGGATGGTTCAGAGCTAGCTTCTGACTCCATGGCTGTTGACCATGACATGACTCACACCGAGAAGGCAGATCTGGACAGCTTGTCAAGAAGCGCAACAATGGAAGACCGAAAGGTGAGGGAAAATGTAAGCGAGCAGAATCACTTGCATTGTCCCCCTCCAAATCCCCAAAGGTACTATTTCTCTCCATGACCGAATATTTCCACTCATAATTCCTCAGGTGGAAGGTGGAAGGGGAGACAGTAAACAGTCTAAACCGTTAGCACATTGGTGATCAATTGCCCTGTCTAGCACTCCTGTACTGCTGGCCGCTGTGCATGTAACCAGCCCATATGTCAATGACGCTGGTCGCTGACCCACCTGACATACCACCTCCTCCTTGAAGTTCAGATAGTTGACAAGTTTTACCATCACATTTTTGGACGAAAGAAAACCCAGAGCTTTCCACCTGACTCAATGTGAATGTATGTCGCCACACTGTTGGCGTCATCTTGTAAATGGGGCACTGCTGCATTGTCTGGCTCCAGCAAAACCACCAGATTTCTGTCTGGTACAAATGTCATAATTAGAGCAAAATTAAATGTAGGAAAAACTCATCACAAAGGCTCTGGAAGACCTGCATGCACATATGGGATGTCCAGAACACACTGGATTGTCATCGGGTCTTTCATGCCAGCGACCGCATCTGATATTGTCCCTTTCTGGTGAGGATGGGTGGCATCTGCAACACAAGTTTGAGACTTACCATGAATAGACACAGGCATATAAGGACTTAGTCTGAATTTACGGTCCAGCCATTCTGTTGTTACATTGGTTGGAGAATTTGTGGTGTGCCCCGGAAGAATACAGGTTTGTTGAGACGCAGGGCATCTTCAATCCTGTCGTTGGCAACACCTCCTTGAGTTCCATGGATCTGGCGCTGGACATACTTGGATGACGGCTTGGACTCAGGGAAAGATGCAAAGAATCTAACTATTTCAGCCTCCACAGACTCGCAAATGTTGACTCTGTTCTTCATGATCTTAGGAAGCATGGTCGTCCTTCCATCCTTCCATCATACTGTAGACGACCGAGGGGGGACCCAAGAATTCCCATGGACAGGTCTTTCGGATTTCAGGAATCCTCTGATCAATACCCCACAGATCATATGTTTAGGGCTAATGTGTGGCAATCACATTGCAACAGAAGTACATAACCCTTCTCCTGCCTGTTCCAATTGTCTCACGTGTTATCCATCATCCGCAATTTAATGGCATCCACAAGTCAATAGCATCCGGATGTGGATGGTGGGAATGAAGGGGTACCTCATGTGTAAGTTATATGATTATTCACCTCTACAGTATGTTTTTCTATCCTTTTCATAGTCTCTATATGTACATATTCATTACCTATATTTCCCTGACCATTCACTCACTTTCCTGACCTCCCTAGGACTTGTCTAGGTTGAGTTATCCCTTACCTTTGTGTTATGGCTTGTCTGTTTACATTTGTTTACCATACATCGCCCATATTCCAGAGTCCAGTGCTCCCTGCCTCTTTGGCAACTCACTCTGGACTCTAGGTACTGTATACCTTTACTCTACACTTCAATACATTGGCAACTTACTTACTCTGGACTTTAGTCCTGATCATCTTTGGTCCCTCAGGAGCCTCTAGAAGCTGCCCATTCAGTTCCCATTGCAACATTTTTACAGCTCACAATCATATCACAAGTCGTGCAACACACTCGCAAATTACGCTCAGGATCCCTTTTTGCCCATCTTCTGTTTAAACCACCTGCCACCTTTCGTCCAATGACTCGGATGTCTTCATTCGTTGTGAACTGGGCAATACCCTCGCCGCTTTAGCATTACAAAGCGAGGTCGTTGATTCACCACATCCTCGAAAGGCTAACACTCAGCGCCACACTTCTATCTGTGATGACGACAAAGAGCTTGCAGCACCACTGCCAAAGCCAACCCATCCCTGACTGGATGGGCAACAGCAGCACCTCTACGCAGATTCTTCCCCCTCATTAAGCCTTAACAGGTGTTCTTTCACAATCGCTGCCCCCATTCTATGGAGGGAATTATGATCTGCAGCCCCCCTCCTCCATGTACTCACCAACCAAGCAGTTGAAAAGCGATTTCAACACAGGAAAGGGTACATGTACATGTTTACATCACCTTCAGAGATTCGTCTGCATTCAGTACGTTTTTCCAATATTGCTCTGTTGGCTATGTGCATTCCCCACAAAGATATTGGTGTGGGGAAGGGATTTGCAAGGACACGCTTGGAAGTCAATTTCAGCTTAGGTGCATACAGTATAGGACCGGCATTTGAGCCAGCACCATCATTTGAGCCAAACAGCTACCACACACTTAACATTTGTTTATCAACCCATCGAATAGTGCAGATTTATCTGAAATACATGAATCTTGTATACTGTCAAGTAGAAATGAATAAAAAAAATGTATGCATGCTACAGGTCAGAAACATGCCCTCTCTCAGCACCAATCAATGCAGCGAGAAGGAATTGTTCAACTATCAATGTCAGAAATCCTGCCAAATGAAAGATTGATATCTACAGTACAGTTTCGGTACAATAAAATATGTTCAACACACAACAATGTGCTGCCACTGGGATTCCGGACGAGGGTCTCAAAATCTATTATCAAAGTGTTTATCTGCAGGACAAGATAGTGAAACTAACCAAATTTGGACTTGCATTCCGGACTCAACAAACTGAGGATCGTTTACGGTGATAATCACTTAGTACTCTCACACTCTATAAATCCATATTAGGGCTGGCTCAATTGGTGAAAAAAATAGATATCAAGACATTCTACTGATCCACACATTGTGCACGCATCACTCATTCGATTGCTCTGTAGTGTTGTATTAGCATGGTCATCATATATCTAAACATGACTGCCAAATCAAAATTTTCATTTTTGTATGAGTGTTCACTTGAGATGGTCAACAAAATTCACTAGCTCAAATGCCGGTCCTATACTGTATGTGTTGGCGACCTGTTCTTTCCTCTTTTGTCGGCGACGCGCATTGCTGCCTTTCTTCTTGTGGGACCCACCCTTCCTCTCCTCAGTCCTGCTATGTGTATTGCTACCGTGTGCATGAGTGCAGTCTGTGAGTGCACGTGTGTCAGATATTTTGGAAATTGACTATCATGTTGGACTTCAAGTCAATGGTTGTTCCTCTGGCAAGTGTATCCCGTTCATCAAAGGCCCTGCTTAAAAGAGGAAGTAAATTGTGGTTGGTGTGCAGCAGGACAATTATTTGTCTACTGTGACAGATATTTTACAATATCAAAGGACTCAGAACAGTTAAGACAATGGAATTTGGGAGAGAAAGGTGCAGACCTGACCCCATGTAATGGAGAATAACACTCACTGGCAGCACAAACTATGATCAGCCACAGTCACACTGATATAGTATTTACATGCCTGGTATAACAAGTCAGTCTGACAGGTCAGTCACTCCGTGGGGTCAGTCATGTCAGTCTGGATTAAATTTGACATCTACATATTTGCACAATATTTTATTTACTGGCAAGTCATATGCCTGCTGGCAAAGAAGATAATATCCAAATTTATTAGCTTTGACTTATACTACTAGTAACTGTTGATCCACATCAGCTTATTCAGCTGATATTTTCTTCGCACTGCTTTGTCCGAGTCGTCAATAAGTCAATCCTCACTCCTCCTCTGATATATATCCATGGACTTAGTAGTTGCAATGTTTTCTTGAGGATCAAAAATTACGACAGCACTTGCTGCATAAATACCTGTCCTGGTGAGTAATGTATCATTCACTGTTCTCATCCTCCTCTGCTCAACATACAGCCTCATTAAAATGACTCAAAGCCCATCTCCCTCCAGTCAGACGGACAAAATGGTGTCCATTTGGCTGGACGGCCTCATCAGCATCCTGCAGGGCCTTTCAGGATGGTAAGTCTAGACATGCTCCGTTCATTTCATTCATGAATTCTTTTTGGACAGGGACACTACTGGACCCAAGGTGCTTGGTGTTTCATGTTCCATATATCACAAGGGCCAGGAGGACAATAGAATGATGCTACATACCCTGCAGTGTAACCACTTTCACTTACTTGCACTACCATTCATACATTGTGTCAATAGCACCTCACAGTATTTCATACGCATATGAACAACTGTTATACGCCACATCATTGTCTGGCCCAAGGTTATCTTGGGAGTGTGCTTCACCAATAACCACCAAATGCACAAACTTTCACTGTCTAGACGACTGGATATCAACCTCGAGTAGCACAGTGATGTCTGTCAGTCCCACCTGTGATGAGGGTGTATGGGTTGGTCGCCATAGGTTTAATTTACCAACTCATGTTCCACTCTGGCAATCCTACTTCCATCTGATCGTCTGCGTGAACTATATGTGTCGTGTTATTGTCGTCAAAAGGGAAATAAGTGTCTGAGTCAATCTGCATCGGAGATCCCTCCATAGTTATATGCGATTGAGGGAGGAGTAGATGGTCGGCGTTGTGAGGAGGTTTGAATCATAAACTTTCATGTAGCAGTGTGACACTGTGGAGGTATGATAAGTGTGATGATTTTTACGCACATTCTTTATGGTTGTGATTGCTCTTGTCAAAAAGCCTTTCAATGTGCTCTGGATGTCACTTTGACAATGTCCGATTTCTTGATCGACATTTGAGATTGGTTGGGGACAGTCATAATGATTGTGTGGGGGCTGTCAGATGTGATGTATATATGGGAGGGTATCCACGGCAATATGACGATCTCAAGTCCTTCATTCTCAAGATGTTCAGCGATGAACTGCCTCACAGATACTGCAATACATTGAGCAAAGTAGATACATAGATGGGCAAGGAGGTGGGAGCGACACAAGTTCTGGTATACATGGCTGGCAGTTGATGCCAGTGGACCTTGAATAACAGTGGTGTTCCCTATATTATGCCTGAGCTGATCCTGGAGGCCAAAAGGAGTTCAGTTGGATATACACGCTGCAATGTTGTACAAATGCAACATTATATCAATTGGTTGAAGAGATACAGGGAATTGCACAACTTGAAGAAGCCTACAAGTCAACTTCTGGATTTCTGGGCGATATTTGTCAGAGGCATGACTTGACACAGTCTTTAACATACATGCAAATTCCCGGCCAAGTATATTCTTGGTGGATAAGTTCTAGAGTGTGGTTCTGACCAAAATGATAGGGGTGATCATAGGTATACCAGAGGACGCATAGGTGTAGGTCATTGTGGGAAGCCAGACGGTCTCATCATGGACTCCCACTAGTGTCGCCAGGCCTCTCACATATACACCATAGTACAAATATTTCAGCACATATATGATTTCATTGATGACAGAGGTGTATAATCAATGTCCTATGCTCACACTGCACAACAACACAAGGCTGATATATCATGTAATGGAATACTGGATAGACAGAACACGGAAGTGATATATCAGCTACATAAGTACCATCACAAGCCTGTAGTAGACAGACTGATATCAGCATGCAGGTAGGGTATAGCACAGGTATACCCGCAGGTCGGAAGAACCACACTGTACTTGTACCCGTCAACACCATACCCGTACGGGTAGGGGTACGGTATTACCCTTACTAACCCGCGGTATAGTAGCTTACCCGCAGGTACATACAAGAAGTAGTAGCATACGTAGTTCTAATAACCTCACACGACACTCTTGTCCTCTTGTTTTCTTTTCTTCAGAGACTTCATGATGTTAATGAAATGCTGACTCACTGAACTTTGTTACTCGTGTGCATTTGATAAGTATGACGGACAGGTTGTTGTCCTTTTCGAGCAAAGGCAGAGAAAACTGATCCGCTCGTGGCTGGTACCTTTCTGCCATTAAATGCACAATCAACTGCCTCTTTGCCCCAGCAGCCATTGGCGTGGTGCCTTAGATTTGTAGTCGATGACTTATCCTTGGAGTCCTGGAAGCGGCGGACACCTCCGACAGAGAGTTTGCACTTGTGTGCCCCACAAGGGAAGAAATGAACTAAATGTCCATTGTGATACTGGACAGCCACAGCATCAAGCTTAAAAAATGTATAGACTACTGAACACCAAGTTTTCTTGAGTGCATCTGTGGGTAAAAATTAATCTAGGTCCATGTAGACATGAGAATAAGTTCACATACTTAGATTAGCTTCATCATCCTGTTCAGCAACGGGAGCAGCATCATTTTCTTCAACGTCGAGGTCAATTACTTCCGGAGCAGTTGGAAGGACCAGCGTGACACGTTTCGTGGTATTATCCACAATGGACTGCATACTCGGAGACTTGTCAGGAGAGATGGGATATGATTCAGGGGGCTCCATGTATGGTACGTGACACCCCCCACCCACCAGCAACATCATCAGTACCCGAAGATTTCAAATACCCCAACATGGAACTGACTCCAGCCCCGATCACCATTGAACAGCTCAAATGTAACATCTCAAAGTTAAGCCTGTACAAGGCATCGGGCCCAGACGGGATTTCCAACATTATTTTTGTATGTTGCACTAACCTCCTATGTGAATTCTTGCTCCATCTATTTAGGGCAGTCTTCATCCTTAAAACTTACTATGGTCCTTGGAGGGACTTCACCATGGTAGTACTAAGGAAACTAGGAAAATCTCAAGACTATGCTTGAAAGGCGGATCCAGAGGGCTTGGCTTCAGCTTGTGCACTGCTCCCCTTACCCGAGTACTTGCCCTTAACTTTGGATGGCAGAGTATAGTAAGCCAACTTATGAGGAATCAATCCTCAGACACAGAGAGGGACAGAGAATGGGAATGGGCAGAGTCTAAGATGATATTCAAACTGAGGAAACTACTGTGAGTTTACAAGGTATTATATACTATGGACATATGCAATGGGGACGCAGTCAGTGGAGATCCAGGTCAACGTGAGCAACATATGTTGCAATGGGAACTGAATGGGCCGCTTCTAGAGGCTCCTGAGTGACCAAAGATGATCAGGACTAGAGTCCAGAGTAAGTTGCCAATGTATTCAAGTATAGTAAAGGTATACAGTACCTAGAGTCCAGAGTAAGTTGCCAAAGAGGCAGGGAGCACTGGACTCTGGGATATGGGCGATGTATGGTAAACAAATTTAAACAGACAAGCCATAACACAAAGGTAAGGGATAACTCAACCTAGACAAGTCCTAGGGAGGACAGGAAAGTGAGTGAATGGTCAGAGAAATATAGGTAATGAATATGTACGTATAGAGACCATGAAAAGGATAGAAAAGCATACTGTAGAGGTGAATGATCATATAACTAACAACATATGGAAAGGTTAAACTGACAGGCGCAAGGAAAATAATATAGAAACAATTGAGAATGGATACGGAAATGAAGTGTTGAGTGGATCTGGTGCAGGAAACCTTCAGTCTCTGGCCTCATAATTGACATTGTACCTACTACATTTCCCTGCACCTCAGCAGGATTGTTGTACCCACACTGGGCATAGGGGTCATGATCTAGAATGAATCCAGATATTAACTGTCAAATGGATCCGGGCATATATGGATTAGAACAAAGGGACTGTACAAATGGGGTAAGAAGCAGAATCGAGATAAGGAACAGATCTGAGGGAATGGCTGTAGATCAGATCGGGGATAAGGTTCAGGAATGTGGGATATGATAGGTCAACAACTTCATTGGAATGGCGAATGCATGCATTGTCGAGGACAATGACACTTTGTGGTCCAGGATATGGGTTTGTGCAGGGAAGCTAGACTCGAACATGCAGTTAGTTTGCATTGTCATTAGTTCATGATCACTGACTCACCAAATCATCACACAGAAGCCCTAGAAACAGTTCACATGTGAAGCTCCCTTCAATGACTTGTATTGCTATAATGCCCTCATCCAATGCCATAGTACCCAGCATTGAGAACCTTTCCTTCCAAAAAATGGATTATGCTTCTCCACTCACTCACCACAAAAAGCCCTTCCCCACATACGTGCATATGTCCTGTTATCCTTTGAAACCTCATCAAGAGTGACCAAGCAATGGGCTGGGTATTGGCTGATACAACAGATGAATCCTGCACGGACAAGTGGTTTCCTCTTGGATGCAAGTTTCTGTACATGCTTGAGGTTCAGTCCTGCATGTGTAAGAGTGCGGTGAATAGTTGACTGCGTTCGTAAGAATGACAGCTGTGCAATACTGGGTTCCAATGGGAGAAGAAAAATGTGCATCTTCCAGTGTGCATTGAGTACTGGCCACATGTTTGCAACAATACCAAATCCATGCTCGACCTCTATCCGCACAGCCCCCATGGCTGCATTGAACTGCTATTCCTCTTCTGTGCAATTTCCAGGACCTGAAAATGGGCTGATCATTTGCGGACTGACACCATAGGCAGCATCTCCGAAGAGCTGCAAAAAGCAGTCCTCGATAGGTGCCGTATCCTCACCTACATCGTCACGCACAGCATATTCCTTGCAATTAGTCATGGCCCACTTTCCGATAGCAGAAAGGCATTGTTGTGTCATCCTTTGACAGGGCCATATAGATGACCAAACATTCCATTTGGCAACATCACAGCCTGAAACTTGAGTGTGGTATTTTTTATGACCGTTATATGCCTGCCGTTGCCAGTGAGACAGCCGACAGATGTGCCGTATGGTGCAGTCAATAAAACCCCAAATTCCAGTTAAAGGTGCACCACTTTCATGGACTGCCCTTATGTACTTTTCCAAGTTAGGTCGGGAGAGCAGATGCTCTTGATCAAAATCCAAGAGGTGCCCCCATTTTTTGTCAACAAAAATGATGACCCAATTGACTATTTCAGATATGCCAGTAGCGGAATGGTCAAATGTAGATACAAGCTCATACAGGTCACCAGCTGAGCATTAGTGAGCGCAAGTGAGGCACAAAGCTTCAAATGTGGTGAACTTGTGTCCTGAGTCTGTTCTGATCTCGTCAGGGAGGGACAAAGCTTGAGTGAGTTCAAGCAATTCTGATGCAGTCATCCTTCATGGCATGGTATTGTGTGTTAGCTGTGACTCACTGGATCTGCATGCAGTAATGCTCACCAAAATTGCCACAATGATTCTCCATGGACCTCAAGTAAGTTTTGGATATGCACTCGCCCCCCTGATGGGGGTGCTCTCTCTATGGAGCAGTCTCTGTATGTAGCATCTGGCCCACCCTAGAGATTTGGGAGAAAAATGAGCATTGGTCTGGGGAATGGAATGCTGATGTCAAAGTGTATCGTGGATGGGGCAGAGAGATCGCAGTGGATGGTTGGCTTGGGCCAGGAGATAGGCTTACATATCCAAGTGGCAGCAGTGAGTCTAGGAACTTGTAGGGATGAGTTGCGTCAAACATGGAGGAAAACCACAAGATGTGGTCCCATAAGTCTTTGACCTAGGGTAGCACTTTGGTCGGTGTCCAATTGGACGTTGATGTGGTGCGGGGTATACCGGAGTATACAAGCACTATGTGCAGCCCAGGCGGCATAAGCTAGGAGGCGTGCAAGCACACCCAACTCACTGTCTTAGACACATAGGCTGGCTGAGACTAATGATTTGCGCTTAGGAATGTTACTGTGGGGGTTGATAAATACATTCTCTTTCCCCCCGGTGTCAATTTTGCGAAGATGCCTATGACCCCAATGGGTGAGTTTGAACTGCGCTCTGGATATAAAATTGCTCATTATCTGCGGTGTATCATTTCAAACAGGCATCCGCTTCCTTATCATCATATTCATTGTCACTGCCATAAGTATCTAGAAACCGTAGTAAACCTGACACTGGGCCGTCATCTATGCCTGCCTCAGCTATGAACCACTGCTGCAACCAATAGTTAACATGTCATTTGTGGACCCAATTGAAAGTGCAAAAGTGCATCCAGGACTGGCTGGAGAGACAATAAGTCCTTAAGATCATCATTGTCCTTTAGCTTTCTGCACCACCACAGATCTTTGTATGGACACTTGTGCTTCTGTTCTCCCATACTTGAGTCAACTCTCTTCCATTCTACGGATCGCTTTCAGTAGCTCGTAACCTCAAAACCTTGCCAAGTCATTGTCGTACCGCTAGAAATCCATTCTGCCAAGTCCACTTCTGTCCGGACATCCGTTTTCTTACACTGGACTTTCCTTTCCTTTCCGCCTCCGCACATTAGCCTCATAGATCTTAAGTCTGTAGGGTTGATTCCTTCACATTTATATCACAAAGACTTCCTTCAGTAGCAATCCCCTTGGGACGAGCATTTATACTCGCACTCATACAGATTGGTAGTCTACACCAACAGGCTACAGGGAATCACTTTCGCTCACTGGCCTATATGTTGGCAAATGTGTGATATGTCCGAACATATGGTCCTCGACATCATTACCAGTGAGTATTTCTGACTTTGTTTAGGTTTGCGGTATTGTCTACTTATACACCGCTCTACCAGGACTCTGACAACATGCACCCTGTTTGAGATGTCTATAATTCGACACAACATTTAAAATATAGGGGCTGCAGTTTTCCTGGTCATGGATGTGTCTAGGTAAATAAAATTCCACTGTTTGGGTAGACAAAAGCATTTCTCAGTATGGATCTGTGATGTCCACATCCACAGTTGCATACACACAATCGGAGTCAAAATTATCAATTCACTATTATTTTCCTGACCAAGACCTCTCGCACAGACGGTCTTATTAAGATACACACTGAGCCTCCCACCCCCTACTATCTGAGGTGAAATACCATGGTAACCCGACACACTCGTAAGACAAGGATAGCTGCATCCGCAGACAAACAAAAACCAAAGAAGGTATGTGAGCCAATTCATTACAGCCAACTTGAAGACAAGTTCTAATAAGAATTATTAGCAGAGGAGACCAAGACAGAAACCTATTCAAGAGGTACCGCCATTCGTGGTCTGCCGTGGAACATGCATGCAAGCTATTGCAAGGCTCAATCTTATCAAGGAGGAACACTAGAAGATAAATTATCATCTGAAGGAGGATTTTGAGAGGGCCAAGCGGACCATGGATAACATGATTGTGAAGAATCAGCTGAAATTGGCCCAGACGTGGATCGAAAGGAGTCAAACAGACGCCGAATTAGCCCAGAGACAGGCTAAAGTGGTGGAGAAATAAGCTCAGTTGGACCGGCAGAAAGCCAAGCTAGCCCAGCAACAAGTGAAACTGGCTCAGCAAGAGGCTGAAGTCACCCAGCAACAGGACACGCTGGACAGGCCGAAAGTGTTGAGACGTGCTTTTGATTAAGATAATGTACTATATTATATATATCATCGTACATTTCCGTTTGATTCAAGTTGTAGTGTTAATGTCAGTCATATGATATATCAGTCAGACATCAGTCCAATGTAGGCCCAGTGTCAGTCTGATTAGTTAACACATTCAGACTGACTGACCTGACGGACTGACATTTGTACTACAGACTTACGCAGTTATAAACTTCTGTGACTTCCATGACATAGTCACTGAATTCCATGAGTCAGTCATATATCAGTCTGACATCAGTCCAGTCAGTCCAGTGTCAGTCTGATTAGTGAGATCTCTGAGATCGAGAATGTCAGGTAACAACAACATCTGTTGGATCAAGGATGCCGAGAATGGCCTTGGTTCATATTCTATGCTCAGCCTATTAAGGGATTATACAGCCCAGTACATTGATGTATCAGAGGTCCTACAACTCAGAGTGATTCATGTATCACCCTTTATTACAGGTACGAGTACTTGATACATGACTCCCCCCAGCTATATGTGCCTCCTGGCCAAAAGTCTATCTGTTCTGTTCAACGGGGTTGTTCTGTCACTTGTTTCTACGTGTGGAATAACCCTAACCCTAATCATGCTGTAATTTTTTGTCCCAGTACGATGTTTTTGATCAGCTTATCGCACAACAATTCTATTTGATCGGCCTCAAGTTAAGATTTGTGGTGTATGGTACACAACTTCAGGTAAATAGTGCCACCTTTATTTTCACTATCACACAACTATTGACACATTATCAATTTTGGTGACCTGCTGTCTAAAACACAGCCAGTCACATTTGGCCGTATATAGTAATTACATGCATCAGCAAACTAGGGTTTTCGCAACAGGCCTCACAGGCCTCACAGACATGTACAAGGTTGCACAGGCCTCACAAGGTTGACAGGGCTTACAAGACTAACACTACTAAGTAATAGTGTAGTAACTCGATAGTCTAATACAATAGTCTACACTCAATAGTCTTAACTCAATAGTCTAATACGATAGTCTACACTAATATTAGTAAAATGAACAAACATCAGTCATATTACTTGTGTGCCTGAACTTTCTTGAACACACCACTTTCTAGTATTTTGCTTATAACTCACTAGGATCTTAACCAAAAAATGTCATGAGACTATGGATAGACTACCATTGACAAGGGCTACAATTTTGATTTTCATCGGAAATATTCCCACGGTCTACCCTAGTCATTCCTTATCATGGTCCTTAATCAAAATCCCTAATAACCAAAAACTCGAAATTTAATCAAGTCCTTTCTTTACTATTGTATTCCTGTTGGTATTCTTAGTCTTAATAAGCAAACATCGGTCACATTATTTGTGTGCCTGAACTTTCTTGAACACACCACTTCGTAGTATTTTGCTTATAACTCATTAGGATATTAAACAAAAAATGACATGAGACTACAGATAGACTACCCTTGACAAGGGCTGCAACTTTGATTTTTATCAGTAAAGATTCCCACGGTCTACCCTAGGTGCCTGAACTTTCTTGAACACACCACTTCGTAGTGTTTTGCTTATAACTCATTAGAATCTTAACCAAAAAATGTCATGAGACTATGGAAAGACTACCCTTCACAAGGGCTACAACTTTGATTTTCATCGAAAAAGTTGCCAGTCTACCCTAGTCATTCCTTATCAAAATCCTAATGGTAGAGTATTGTATTAGACTTAGAAAGTATCGTATTTTATTCTAAGTCCATGGATATGGTATATATATCAATTACTGCCTACATATATACAAGGTCCTGTAGTCTAATGGTAAGTGATGCTCGAAAGTGTGTGAATTGATCATGTGATCTCAGCTGATGTGTTGTAAGCTCGAGAGTTCAAACCAGCAAAGTGGCATAAATTCAATTAGGAATAATGATTTGTAATTCTTTTGTTTTATTGACCATAATATCGAAAATTATACAGGCCCCACAGACTTCACAAGCTCACAAGCCTACAAGCTGTACAAGCTGTACAGTCTGTGCCTCCTTGTACAAGCCTGTACAACGAGGGCTTAGCTGTAGGCTCTGTGAGCTTGTACAGGCTTGTACAGAATTGTACAATCCTGTACAAGCCCCCCCTAGTTTGCTGATGTGCCTGGTATTACAAGTCAGTCAATCAGTCAGTCAGTCACTGGTGTCAGTCATGTCAGTCTGAATTAAATTTCAAATTTATTAGCTTTGACTCATACTAAGAGCTTAAAGGTAAGACTTGAACTAAAACAAATAGTTAATGAATGAAGTTGACTAGTTAGATCACCTGACCCTCTTCTTGCTACCACCCTTATCTATGCTGCTGCTGATTCTTGAATCATTGTCCCAATCCAAATACTCCAGCAGTGTTCTCTTTGATAATTTGATGGACAGGTGAATGGATAGTAATAGAACTGTACCGCCCTGCACATCAGCCAAGCTGGCTGGCAAGGTCATCCATCCCCTGGAATTGCATAAACACAGAGTGTCCTATGTCACAAAGCTGCCTCTGTTTTCTCCTAGAGTCATGGCTGGATCCTGTTGGTAAAGTTAGTACCCCCTACGTAGTAGTAGGGTGCTATACAATTCTGATTTAATGCTGTAACATACCAGGTCCTTTATGGCAGGACTCATTGGACAATGTCAATGAGCTATGACCACACTTTTGAGGTTTCTTTACCATAGCAGAGCCTACAGTGGTGCAAATATTTGGAGTAAAATGAACCTCCAGAGCGACAACAATATTCTTTTCCAGGTCAGAATCTTGGATAGGTCATTGTAAATATGTGTCATTCACTGCAACTGCAGGATATAATGGTATACATACCTGAGATAGCGGCTTGAGGCCCCAAATCATCACTGACACTGGTATCATATCAATTGAGGGACCATATGGGCTGCTGTGTGAATGGAGAACCTGGAGGTGCATCCATGCAAATATCCTTCAAAATCTGTGAGCCATTGATGTCAGATGTTTCGCCCTCCTCGTCATTAAGATCGAGGGAAATTGGACAGTCAGGTTTAGCAGGATCATGCAGGGAAGTTGGAGTGTGTCCCTCATTAATGCCCTGATTGTCTCCTACATCGGTCTCTGCATTATCTCTGCATTCTCCGTCATCAAGTTTCACCACTCCGCCTTCATCAAAAACTCTCTCTTCATTCTCTCTGTCATCCAAATCCTCGCTCCTGACTGCTATTCTATGACTGTCATAGACCCCACCATCGCTTATTGTCTTGTAGGAGTTTTCTTGTACAAGATTTAAGTGCTTGTGTGGAGGAAAATAGCCGTTAGACTCACTGTTGCCTCCACTAGTGGAGTCGCCTGTGTCCATCATCACCTTCCTATCATCTTCAGATCTGTCCACTAGCTTCTGCTTGCACTCATGGACCTTTGCCTCCTCGACAAGATGTAGGTCATCTTCGTGCGATGAAAGTATGACAAACTTTTCATTCTTCATAACCGATGTATCAATAACTTCCTCCATATTAGAACTCCAGTAAGAAACTGCCAATGACTCGGAAAATGGAACTTCATCATGGGAGGCCTGCTTCTTTGACTTAGAAGGCTGACCCTGGGTGTATGCATTGGCATTTAAAGACTGGGCACAGTAAGTACTACAATAGTGCACTATGGCGACACTCACCTTCACCATATTTTCAAGTGCATGTTGCACCAAAGGCCTAAGGGGAGGTTGCTTTTGTATGTTGACAGCTCCTGTAGTATCTTCCCAGGCTATTTGACTTTTTTGCACAGTGTCGATAATGGCCTGTAGCTGATAGGACTGCCCCAAGCACATGACATCGCGCTTGTGTGCAGCTAGCTCGGAGCCCAGATCAAAGGAACGCTCGACTTCAGTCAGTGCGCGTTGATCAACTTCCAGCCCATCTGGCCACGTAAAATTAACGAGGCGCGGGCTTGAGGCCTTGACATTAGCGAGTATCGTCTGCCTCTTACCACCATGAAATGCAACACAATATGAGGTGGTATTCTCCTCCAGAGCGAATCAGATTGCAGCGGCACCTCCTCACAGATCCCAACGCAACTTTGGCCTATATACATTGATGACCGCCTGTTCAGCTATTACCATGCAAGCCATGAGGTGCATTGCACGCGCACGTGAGGCTACTGATTTTATAGACCACTCGAAGGTGTGGAACTGGATGAGCCTCATGCCTCGAAAAGTGTCTGCAGTGGCATCACTAGAAATTTTTGACTGGCGAGTCCAAGGCTGATAGAGCTCGCACGTCTTCAAGGTGGTTAATTTTGTCCCGCCATTCAAGATCTTTTGAGCGTCTAAGGCCTCCGCATGCAAGTCTTCCCTGTGCCTCCTCTCCTTTTTATGAGCTAGAGCCCTGTGCTCAGCGCGTTCGTCATTGCTTCCATAATCTTCATCACTGTCATCCATATCGCTGGACTCTTCACTGCTCAACAGTGGTGATGAATCCTCCCAGTCATCCTCCCGTTGGCGGTCTTGCTGCGCCTTTGTTGCCTTCTTTCTATTCTTTCCCTTAGAAGTATCGCCGATGCCAAATGTAGCCATAAGTTGCTGCTGGTTGGTAATGCGTGTTACTTGCTGCATTTGCCATGCAAACTGATAATGCTGGTCCTTCAACTCAAGCTGAAGGTCCTTGGACTGTAAACCCCAGTGGCAGTGTGGCCACAGTTGAACCAGCTCAACCAAATCCACATGGTGAGTGCTCTGTCATGATGTTATAATTTGACACTTACTTTATTCCTGACCAAATCCCGCTGGTTCTCACAAAAATGTTGTTTAACATGATTAAGAGCGTGGAAACATGTTGATGTAACTCTTACTTAACTAGGAAGTGAGGAAGTAATAGGTGTAGGACCTGATGTTTCGACCTTCAGGTTATCTCTTTCTTATCCTAAAGACACTAACTATCATTCTTATATCAGCCAGCAGACCCCTTTGGCATCAAACTAGCCTAGGCTAAGCAAGACCCACATAGGTATTTGGTAGGGTTACCTTCTTGGTAGTCATTTTTCAAATATTATTGTGACATTTACATTTGCAAAATAGTAATAGTGACAATTCAATTAGTTAGGTGAATGGCTGCCTGGGTACTACATGGCTCATACAAAATATAAAGTGTGGTGCATGCAGTTGTCCACCCCAGATTACTCTCTCACCCACTATTGATTCTATACCATGTCACTTCAGGATGGAATCATTGTCCGCCAGGATAATTGCAGACCACCTGTCATATACCGAACACTGAGCCCCTGAATCATATCCCATCTCTCCAGACAAACAATGTCCGGACCTCCGAAATGTAGCCAAGCTATACCTTAACCCTATCCCTACCCCTCAGCAGGATCTGCCCTGCTTCCCCTAACCTGTCGACACAATATGTCATCCACTCCTCCTGCTCCTGTATACCTCGGATCCCCTATACGCCGGACCTCCTATTCCTCGGACCTCCTATTTGTCAGATCCCACCCATGTCATCCACTCGTCCACTCATCCGCTTGTCCGCTCCTCCACTCGTCCACTTGTCCGCTTGTCCACTCCTCCTGTATACCTCGGATCTCCTATTCATCGGACATTCTATACGTCGGACCCTAAACATCGGACCTACTCATATCCTGACCCTCACACCCACTTAACCCTAAAAACATCGGATCCACTTCACAGTTCATTTTGGTCCCCATTTCCCGTGATCCGCTTGACAGTTCATTTCCGGTTCTGCTCCTATTCTGTTACCCCATTTGTATAGTCCCCTTGTCCTAACCCCTATATGCCCAGATCTGCTTGACAGTTAATATCCAACTTCATTCTTGATCATATCTCCTATGCCCAGATCCATTTGATACTTCATCTCTCTCAATCATTCCTGTATTATTCTCCCTGTGCCTGTCAGTTTCACCTTTCTGTATATTCCTCTTGTTGACCCGGATCTCCGCTGACTCTGTCCCCGTCGCACATGTCCATAGTATATAATACATTGTAAACTCGTAGTAGTTTCCTCTGTTCGAATATCACCTTAGATTATCCTCATTGCTGTTTCCAGGGACCTGGACCTATTTCCATGGGCCCAGGTTCACTTCCCTATCCAAACTCTGAGTCCTCGGATTGATTCCTTGTACTATATCTCCACCTCTACCTTAGGGTAGTCTACCTCCGTCAGTTTCTACTCTAGACATTGTCTAGTGTAGTCTTACCTCTAGCTTCCACATTCTCAGACTTCCTGTCTTTCTGTCCTCTCAGACTTCCTATCTTCCCGTCCCCTCGGACTTCCTGTATTTCCGTCCTTACACCTGTCTGTTCTCTCCGCTGTGTCTGCCGGACGAAAGGCCCTATTGTCCGGTGGACTAAGCCCCTATTGTCCAGCAAACTAATCCTCTTATGTCAGCTAGACTAACCCTATGATCGGCTGACGAACCCTCCTTACATCGGCTGGATGAACCCCCTTTACGTCGGCTGGATTAATCCTCTTATATCAGCCGGACTAACCCTATGATCGGCCGACAAACCCTCCTATGATCAGCCGGACTAACCCTCCTTACGTCAGCCAGACTAACCCCCTGAACATCGGCCTGACTCTTCCTCGGAAAAGCCTACCAGACTTGTCCCCTCGAAGTCCACCGGGATTTATCATCCTCCCTCGGACTTTGTTTCTAGCCTTCGGAAATTAAGGGCACGTACTCGGGTAAGGGGTGCAGCGCACAAGCTGAAGCCAAGCCCTTCAGATCCGCTCCTTGAGCACGGTCTTAACACCACCCCTTAATTATAACCTATTTATAATTGCTCCACCAGATCATCTGTTTTTTCCTGGCACCCTGTAAGTCAAATATCATGCTCAAAACTTGAAGTTGACTTGCCCAACACCTCATAAAGATTACTAAAGGAATGTTCATGGACCTGCATCAGGCCATTTTTGCTATAGTCGTGTTGTGTGCATGAACTTCAGTCCCCACACTGTTGAAAGCAGCAGCAAACCATCATTTTAAAATGGTGGTCTCAAAAATTATATCAGTGGTAACTATATTCTTAAAATGTTCAATCTATCTTATCACTACTTATGCAACAGCATATCTGACTAGTATCATTGTGGAAAAAGTGCTGCTTTGGGTATCTTGTGCAAGCAAATATTCTGGATCCATTGCTTCCATTATTCTTCATATGCACTGTCCTGTTACCATGTCTATGTAGTGTATTAATTCTAAGCATAGGCATGTAATGCTGCTCATTCCTCTGGTATAGGTGGTTGTACATAAGGTTGTTGTGGTTGCATATCATTCGCTGGTACATATCTGATTTATCAATGAGTCATTGGATTATTCTTTGAGAATTATCACTATGGTATATGTGTGGCTTTGAGGAAGAGATTCATGACTCTATTCTGTAGTGTTACCATAGTAATAACTGGCACTGATGCAGGTAGCCAATGATAGATCTGGCTGCCCCTGTAGGCAGATAAATTTTCAGGACTGAATCAAGCATCTATCTCTCTTTCACCTTCAAATTGAGCACAGTTTTTGGTGGTGGTGAATTCAAGCAGATTAGTAGTGCACACAAATTATACCACCCCTCCCTTGGTTACAGTAATATAGTGACATTTATATTTATAGTGGTATGTTTGTCATACACCACAACTTAAGCATTATAACAACTTCACTTGCTGACATTTGACACTCAGCCCTGTTCAAATGAATCGTCAAACATGTAGTGTTTGACACAAGCCTCTGCCCAATCTTTTCATCATCAAGCACATAGCATTGACACAAGCCTCTGCTCAATCATTTCATCATTGAATTGAACATGTAGCATTTGACACCTCTACCCAGTCTTTCGTCATCGAACACATATTGTTTGACACTCAGCCCTATTCAAATGAATTGTCAAACACATAGCGTTTGACACACAGCCTTTGCCCAATCTTTTATATCTATTGATGTAGGATGCTTCAGGGGGTGAGACAAAGATAGAAATCCACTCATATATGCTTATGAATATGTTCTGAATGTCCTGGAACACCCCCTATCAAAGGGGCAAAAGTGAGAAAAATGTTCTGTACCCTACCCTATTTTCAAAAGGCCCTGGAGGAGGAGCAGGTAATACAAATAAACAAATAAACAATCTATCATATAATATCATACATGTATATATCAAACTACTACTTAGATACAAGGGAGGACCTATTGTGGTGTAGTGATGAAGCTGCAGTGAGGGTGTGGGAATAATTATAATTATGTGGTATGCCATATTGGGATGATGTTTTGGGTGTTGTGGGGTAATTCCCATAGTAGGTGGTTAAATTCCAGGACCCTATAAAGGGTACTGGTTTAGGGTGAAGCAAAATGAACGCTTGATAATCCCGGACCTTTTATAAATTGTGTTTGTTTATATTTTTTTAAACGCCACCATCGTCTGACGTGGATTACTTTCACTCCTCTTTCTGTATCTCCTTAACATTGTGATTCATATTCATGGCTACTAGCTCTTCGTCTTTGCTTGACCCTCTCGACAGATTCGCTCGTCCTGTCGCGTTGGTTGCGTCGGATCAAGAACTTCCTAATGACGGGAATTCTGTTGTGTCATCGTGCGTTTTACGCAAGTATTTCGGGTATTATGGGGTGTCTCGTGTGTCTTTGCATATCACCAAACAATATCCGTCTGGTGATCTTTTGCCAGTGTCTGCGCCTACTCTCTCACATATTATTGACAACTTTTCTGTATTTAGTCATGAGCAGTATGCTGAAATTGCACGATTTCATTCCGTTCGTGTCATGTCGGTCGATTTGAAGGACCACGTACGGGACTTGTTACGTGTGCATGACTGCACTTGTGCATGTGCCCCGAATCTTATTGTGTTTAAGCATTTGCGTGTGGCTAGGCGTGATTTTTCTCATGCTATTTTGCCCGTACCCTTTGCACAAGATCACTCAGCGCGTCGTTTAAAGGTTCAACGGGTTGCTCGTCTTCGTCGACAGAAAGAAGCCGCGGATGATGCACGTTGTGACATTCATGCGAGTGATGAAACGATTGTTGACGATGTTGAAAACGATCCCGAGTTTCCATGTGTGCGCTCCTTTGCAGACAAAACTGATATAATTAAGGAGTGGCAACACAAAATGAGCCCGCTTGCTCAACGACGAGGAGCATGTGCTGTCTGTGCTCATAATGTATGTGCCTTTGATTTGAAGGGTGTTAGTTCGCGGAACATTCCATTACATTTATTGCGTAATGATTGTTTGCCAGAGCACACCCTTCCGTCCAGTTATGACTTGGAGTTATACGAGAGAGCTATATTGTATTCGAAAGGCTTAACTGATTGTTGGGCACTCGCCGATTTGCTTTTGTGTCGCCAATGTCATTCGGCTCTGATGTCCAAACAACCACGACAGCCCGTCAATGCTCTTGCAAATTTTCAGTATTATGGCCATGAGAGATTGCCGTTTGATGTTCAAACAGCGTTTTCGCGAGCATCTGTTTATGATTTAATGCTCGTTAGTCGTGCACGCGCATCTCAGATTACGCATTTTTATGCATATAAGCCGTCCGGTTATTGGATGGGAGAGGAAGGTTCTCAACGATATAATCGTGGTAATGTCGCTATTAGGCCGCAAGATACCACACAGCTCCATAATATGTTGCCGCCTAGTCGCAGTGAATTATATGATGCGATGTGCGTGATTTTCGCTGGTCATGCGCAAAAGCCTTCACGTGACACTGTCAAGCAAATGCATCCTGTACTTGTCACGAAGTCGACAGTGAAAGTATTGATTGATTTTTTGCTGGCTAATAATCTGTGGTATCAGCAATGTGGTGTTTTGTATAGTCAAGAAAATATGGATAATTTATTTGATGAATGCGATGCCGATTTAGATTCTAGTGTGCTGCAAGCATTGGATATATGTCATTTGCCTATGGATAATGAGATGAGCGAAATGTCTGGTATGGAGCCTCGAGATTTAGATCCTCCACAAGATGCGGACGCAGGTGATATCGTTATTGAAGCCGTCGGTTTTACTAAGGGCGATCATTCATCAACTAGCAAAGAGAAAATGAAACTGCATGCGTTGGCATATGTCTTAGATCATAATAGATTTATTTTGTCTAAGGCAGGCTCTCGCTTTCTTTCTGATAATGATCCAGGCTTGATGTCTTTTCTATTCCCGCACTTAGATCCCTGGGATATTGGTGGATTTAATCACACAGGGCGAACAGTACAACAATATTTAACAATGGAAGCTCAAGTCAAAAATTTGCTTCGTCAAGATAATTCGCCTTTCGTAAACGATCAAAATTTCGCGTTCATCTGTTGGAATATGATACAAAAGAAAGAGGTTAGCAGGAATACCACTTTTCGCATTAGTTCGTCCATGCAGCATGATTTAGCGCAAGACTTAAAGGATGTTGCTCCTTCACTTACTAATTTGGCTGAGAAATGGACGCGTTCTGTCAATGCAAAACCTTCGACGACCCAGGAAAAGAAAGCTGCTCGAATTTTAAGGCGATTACATGCATCTACGAAGTCGTTGAAGGGGAGTGCAGGATATAAGTTGTGCCGCAGAAATGAGATCCGTTCGTTGATGAAGAGATTCAGTACGCCTGCATTGTTTGTCACGGTTAACCCTCATGACCTTACGAGTAGCATGATACCTATTGTTGTGGGAATAGAGCTTGAAGAGTGGTCTATGATGACATCGTTTGCTAGAGCCAAAATAGTTGCTAGTCGTCCTGATGCTGCAGCAATTGCTTTCGATTTGCAAATCCGAGCATTTGTCGACATCATATTGCGTTACAAACATGGTCCAGGTATTTTTGGGCATTGTAAGGTGTTTTATGGTATGGTAGAAGCGCAAGGAAGAGGTACTCTGCATTGTCATTTTTTATTATGGATCAAAGGAAATCCCAGTCCCCAGGTGCTGCGCGATCGCATGGCAACTGAGGACAGATTTAGTAATAAAATGTTTCAATGGCTGGAGAGCATAATAAGTTGTGAATTACCTTGTGACATCGGTCCGGTAGCGGAGACGCACTCCGATCAAGTTAAGAAACCTAAGCGTAAGGAAGGGGATATGGATCCTCGATTGGAAAAACCTCCGCTTGTGAGTGAAATGGATGAGGATTCGTTTCGACATGAATTCACAGAGTTTCTCACTCGTTTAGCTGTTGAATGCAATTGGCATGTGCATAATGACACTTGCTTCAAGCATGTCAAAAATTTTGAGCAATGAGGAGATGCGACGTGCAGAATGCGTATTGACGGATCAATTCATGATGTAACCACTCTGGATCCCGAAACCGGTTCTATAGAATTGAGACGTTGGAGAGCACGTGTCAATAACTTTACGGATTTGATTCTGTTTTTAATGCAATGCAACACGGACTCACAATATATTGGTTCTGGTGAAGCTGCCAAGGCAACCGTGTTTTATACAACAGAATACATCACAAAGAGCGACTTGCCATTGCACGTTGGTCTGCAAGCATTAGATTATGCGACAAAGATGTTTGAAGCTAAGGAAGAATTGGAAGGATGTGCGTCAGTTGAAAAGGGAGAAAGAAATTTAATAACTAAATCGGTGAACGCTATGATGGGCAAACAAGAAATGTCTCACCAGCAAGTCATGAGCTATTTAGTTGGAGGAGGCGATCATTACAGTAGCCATATTTTTCAAGCTTTTAAATGGTATGATTTTATGCAAGCGATAGAAAAATTCGATGATCTTGCGTTGACAAACAACGAAGGCGACAATAACAGTGAAAATGGAGGAGATAGCATAGAACGTGAAGACCAAGTCACCGTCAACATTTCTTCATCGAAATGCGAGTTCTCGAGTGATTTCATGGATTACGCCTTGAGGCCATTGGAAAATTCCTTTTCACGTCTGTGTTTATGGGAATTTGTAGAAAGTACTATGAAAATTAAAGCAGAGGTTGTGGATAAAAATGACGATGAAATTGATGTCGAATCAGATGACGATATTTCCAACGATATTACGCCCAAAAAAAAATCAAAGATGCTCCCAAGGGCAACATTCGCACCACAACATGCACAGTTTTCAACACACATGCTTCGTTTGCGCAGCAAGAAAGTGGTTCCCTTATTGTTGGGTGATGCCTTACCTCGCCCAGATCAATCTGAAGAGGAAAATGAATTGCATTGTCGAGCGATGATGTTGTTGTTTAAACCGTGGCGAGAGTTCTCAGACTTAAAGTCAGACGTCGAAAGTTGGGTAGACGCGTTCGAAAAAGAAACTTTTCCGTCGAGATTGTTGGCAATTATTAAGAACATGAATGTTGAGAATGAATGTAAAGATGCTAGAGATGCGCATGCTGTTTTAGTGCGAGAAGAATGCGCTAAACCGCACATTTATGGTACCGAACGAAGCCTCGAAACCCAAGTGGATATGAGCGCATTTGATGAGGCGTTATTTGCTGATACTGCGTTAAATGTAAGTGACAAGATTGACGATGAACTTTCTGCTGAAGATGTACCTCGACAAAATCACACAGATACGCGCGATGTCCAAACTTGCTTAAGAGCAGCATTAGATGGAGGTTTATTCACTGCCACGGAAACGTCAGTTCAAACAGAGCCGACTGTTATAGACACTGCAACTCACCTTGTTAGCAACAATAAACAGGGAAGATTGCCTGAGTTTGTATCTCTTATGAAAGCAGCGAAAAAACGAAAAAGGCCGATTGATGTTGGCAGTGCAGATGCGGAAGTCAAGCGTGCGCGGCTTGCACAAGAAGAAATTGATCCTGCAGTAACATTTCAACGCATGCAGGATGAAGCTGAGATTACATCTATATATCACAAACCGGAGATTTCATATCAAGAAAAACAAGCCATTGTGGAAGAGATCATTACAGAATTCAAATTGGACGACAATGAAGAGCAAGAGATGTGTTTGAGGATAGTCAGCGAACACTTCATGCGAGAAGAGGTAAAACAACTACTCATGTTTATCACAGGTATTGGAGGGTCAGGCAAAAGTCATGTTATCCATGCGATAGTGGAGATGTTTCGTCGTTGTGGTGCACCTGAAAAATTGACGTTAAGCGCCCCTACAGGCAGTGCTGCAGTGCTAATAGATGGTTATACAATACATGCACTCATGTTTTTGCCAAAACGACAAGCACCTATCAACCAAAACGATTTAGAATTCGTGTGGAGAACAGTAGAATATCTCATTCTGGATGAAGCTTCACTGATGGCAGCGGAACTACTTAGTCAAGTATCTCAGCGCATCAGTCAAGCCAAATCTTGGGATGAATCAACACGCGACAAACCGTTTGGAAATGTCAATGTCATATTTAGCGGTGATTTTGGGCAGTTGCATCCGCCAAAGTCCAATGCGTTGTATAGTTACAAATTAGTGAAAAGACTGGCGCCTGCTACAATGCAAACAATCAAAGGACAGTCTGCTTTACATGGCGCTTTTCTGTGGCGGCAGATAAACACAGTCGTCGAGCTAAAGCAGAATTGGAGGGCCAAAGATGACGCACCATTTGTGGAAATGCTGAACAGGATACGTGTAGGTAAAGCACGAAAAGTAGCATTGAATACCGGACAACCTAGTGACTATGAAGTGTTAAAATCTCGACTGCTAAGCGAAATAAAAAGACTTCTCCTAATGAATATAATGGATTCAAAGACGCACCGATCATCGTTACCAAAAAAATTTTAAGAGACGCGATCAACGAATCAAAGGCTCGTTCGTTCGCAAACGAATGCAACCAACATTATGAAGTATATTTTGCGCGAGACAAAATCGCTGGAATGGATGTCACATCAGAGCAACAAAAACGAATGTGGAAAATAGCAAGTACATATACTAACGACGCTATCGGTGAACTCCCGTTGATTCCGGGAATGCCTGTAATGATAACAGAAAATGTCGCGACCTCTTGTAAAATTGTGAATGGAAGCAAAGGAATATTACAATCTGTGACTTACGAAGTTATCAATGGAAACTGGTATGCGGCATGCGCATTGGTTAATATACCTGAGAGTGCGATGCATATACCAGGTCTTGAAAGCGGAGTAGTGCCTATTTTACCTGTCATAACTAGTTATAAGTATTCGACGGGTGTGAAAACGATTAACATTCGACGTACGCAATTACCCATCTTACCTGCGTGGGCTTTCACAGATTATAAGGTACAAGGAAGCTCCCTACCAAAAGTGATTTTTGATTTGACATGCGCACGTTCTCTGCAAAGCATTTATGTAATGTTGTCGCGAGCACCTAGATTGAGCAACATAGCAATCCTTAGATGGTTTTCGTCAAAGACTTTAAATGCTGACTTACAAGGTGATGCACGGGAAGAATTAAACCGATTAAGTGTAATTGCAGCGGATACACGAGACAAGTTCAAAATGCATCATAACTAAGCCGACAAACGATCTGATTGCCATGATTTGATGGAGAGATGAATTCACCATGATCACGTGATTTATTTCCACGCTGAGGCTTTTGTTCGCACTTATCAATGTCATCGCGACACCTCATCCTCAAACTTCTCGGTGGTGTACACGTCCATGGAAATGGGCCACATTAGTGAATTTCTCGAAGCTCCCGACTTCAAACGTAATGCTTCCACTGCCCTCATTCGTCAACGAGCAGTCTAACGTGAACGCTCCCGAGAAGCTTCCCAGAACGCCCGTTTCGGCACCATTAAACACATGCAATTCACTTTCAACGTCGCTTGGAATGAAAAAAATTTTAGCCACCGTATCGGGTACAATGTCGGATACAGCCTTGGTGGTGTCTCGGTTTAGATAACTTCTGATCAGTGATTGAATGTACTATTGATATGCAGTGCAATCAATTCAGAAGCTCCATTCCGCATTCGAGCGCGGCACTACAACATATCAACCGACTCGTACAGATGTTTGGGCCGAGCCATGCCTCATGCTGTCTATCCGACTGTATCGTAAACAGTCACTTATTTTTATTTACAGCTCACCCAAGAATTCAAATACGCAGAGGTGAGTACAGAGATAAATGTCGATGGGTGTTGATAGCGTTATGTGTCATGCCGGGTCATAATTTGAACAATCTGAGTCTTCGAAGCACAGAAGTTAGGAACTGCAGTAGTTTGGCCGGACAATGTTTCATCCGAAAACATGGTTAGGACCAGTGCGGGCGTCCGACGGCCACTCAAAGTAAGCTGAAGACTTTTCCGTCGTCAGCTTCCATGATATATTCACGGCAGTACAACAGATTCAATGACACTCTTCAAAATCAACTGATTTCAATTCATGTGACATTGTGCTATCAATAATCCGTCTTCCGGATTTCACCGTGCGTGTGGTTAGGACCAGTGCGGATTTTACCGCCAGCTTCCATAATATATTCACGCCAGCACAACAGATTAAATGACATTTTCAACCTATACCGATATGTTGAACCGCACATTTTGCATCAGGCTCGCGACTATTGGATACATGTCCCAATCATTTGTGCTACGTTATACCAAACAATGTTGCACGTGTTTGCCATGCCATTCAAACGCCGCTAAATCGAAGCATCACCAAGTCGCGGATGCGGGACCAGAAACGCAGCACCGTTGATTCTGGAGCGCTACTAGCAAACACTGATGCTATGTGATAATCATGATTAACCCTGCCAATACGGGTCCCCAACACTCTCCAAATGGCATCTTTTTTCGTCCATAGAAAATTCAATGCCATATAATCTTCTGCAGTGAGGTTAGTTGTGGCATCTTTCCGATGCGCTATCTCATCTGCTGTCAACTCCACAAGTAAGTCGACGAGAACCATTGGAGTAAGCCTTGTTTTTGACAGGAACTTGAGAAGCGATATTACTACGAGCCCACCGATTGAGTGGCCAATGACGATATCATACTCAGCAGCCTGAAGATAGGGCACGAGGTCATTTGCCGATGTCTGAACTTGAAAGTCAACGCTAGGCTGCCTAAGAACATGTCCAATAAGGTTTGGTTAGCACTGTCAAAAGGCTTGAGCGAAAAAGACCTGCATTTGGCTGCCAGTGCCGATGCAACACGGTGAAACGTGTGCGAAAACAAATTGGAGCCATGTATGAGGAGTGCTGTGAGATAGCGACGGTCATAGTGAGAGTACTTACGACTGCTACCAGGTGCATAAGGCCAAAGCGGAAGATACATAGTATGAGTCGGTATTGATGAGGAAGGGAATTGATTGCCCAAATGACAGAGAACTGTCCACTCTGACCATCAGACTATCAGCTCTCTTCCTGAGAATGACATGCAGATGTAGTATAAGCCAAAAAATGTATATCAGCCGAATGTGATTGCTCTCTAGCGAGGGCAGAAATGTTTTGATGTTGTGACACGAATGCATGAGTATTTATAGAAAAACAGGAGGAAACTGCGGCGCGACCTACCCGGGTTCCCAATAGAACGGTGTTAGAGCGCTTTAGCTATCGATGGAATGTATGTAATGCTGTCGAGTGAATTTGTCAAGCGATTGCGACTGTCAATGGGAGAACACAGGCAGAAATTGCGGCGTGACCAATCCGGGTTCCCGATAGAACTCATCCTTGGAATTGCGGAGTGGCTTTTTTTCAATCCCTGGCAGATTTGGCTTGCCGATGCCCATAATATCTGTGACATTCTCATCCATTTCGAACCTAAGTGGATGGTATACAGGCATCTGCGAGAACATCGGGAGCATTGGAATCACGTGCTTCAATGCGCAATTTTGGAGGGAAAGACACCACTCGTCAGTGTCATATCGGGTCTTAGATGGGATGTCGGAACGGCAGAATGTTGACTCCAACGTCCTTTCATTGCTGATTCACCACGGGGCGGATGTCCATGTAACGCACGTAGATTTTCAAGACAGTTTTCTTCACACTCTCCTTCGGAAAGATTCTCAGCACCAGGAAGTGTACCTAGATGCTACACGTATCCTCGTTGATGCAAGGTGCGAATACAATACGTAGCAGTTGATCTCAAAAACTCACAGTCTCGCGATTTAAGAGGTCTGTCTGTCCTTCTACATCATGCTCGACTCTCTCCTCAAATTTCCATCCTGACTGTGGAACATCGTCTCTGATTTCTCTTTCAGTTCTTACTTCTTAAGATATTACGACACTAACCATCCCTCATCTGACGCAGCATCTAATTTCGCACAACGATAACTTGACGCTTGGGTTGTACAAGACTCAGCGTACTGGATCCCGTTATTACTGTTCCTGTGCGTGACAACTTTTCTGTATTTAGTCGTGAGCAGTATGCTGAAATTGCACGATTTCATTCCGTTCGTGTCATGTCGGTCGATTTGAAGGACCACGTACGGGACTTGTTACGTGTGCATGACTGCACTTGTGCATGTGCCCCGAATCTTATTGTGTTTAAGCATTTGCGTGTGGCTAGGCATGATTTTTCTCATGCTATTTTGCCCGTACCCTTTGCACAAGATCACTCAGCGCGTCGTTTAAAGGTTCAACGGGTTGCTCGTCTTCATTATGCCTTCTTATTTATGCGAGCGTAATTAGATCAGGGAGAGGTGTTTCTTCCAAGATATTGGATGGTAGTTCTGCGCTGAGTATTCCAATGAACTCGTTTCCGTTCTCATGTTGCATTTTTGACTTTTATGTTTTGCAAAATTTGACGCTAGGTTGGGATATGTGAGGTATGATGCAATGTCCTTTGCTTCGCGAATTGTTGAGGTTTGATTAATCTCAAAACAATTGGACATACGATGAATTGCGACTTGAAATATTCTTCCCCCCCCGTGACCATACACCAAAGCCTATAACATGATGACATCGGATAATCTTATCTGCGTCATTGGAATAAACTTGCACACAATACGCATCACACATGCTGTCATCATTGCGTCAAAAAAAAATGTCACGTGAGTAAGATTGTGCTTAGTTTATGACGTACATGTAATCCAATGTCTCACACCGATAGATCAAGAAACGCGATGTGTCGTTAATTCATCCTGTTGTCTTTCTTATATTGTCATGTCATTTTTAACCGGTGAGTAATGTTATATTTTAAAACATTGCGTTAACATGCCTTCGAACAGCATCTGACGATACAATGACATTTGACTTATGGCCTGAGCCGATGAAGAAAGAAGTTCGGAGAATGCAAGGCAACGACCAATTCGATTCATGGGAGCTGTTCCCCTATTCGTTACAGACTCTAGCAAAATGGGCTGACGTATATCAGGATCGCGCGCGACCAGATAAATCGAGAGACCGCATTCTCATCTACAAAAACTTATTGGACGCCAAACCAGGGGAAGTGTATCCTGTGGCTATTCATCTACAAGGTCTTTTACGACAATTTCATATTGATAGATTCGGAAATTGGTCCGGGTGAGTATCAGAGTGTCTTTACGCTCTGAATGTAAATTGAATTGATATAGTCATGAATCCGAGGTCACGCGTGCAGTGCAATATGTCAACATTTCGTCAGGAGGACACTCAGATGCCTGGCAGGCGACAATCCGCGCACTTAATCTCGCTTGTGATTATGTCAGCCGAAGGTTACATTTAACAATGCAAGAGATACCTAATTACAAAAGTGCGCATTTACTAAAGTGAGTATGTTGAGATTAAGGAAACGTGAATTGACAATGCGAGAACAGCGCGATAAACCACAAAAATGCAAAGAAGCTGTGCTCACAGAAGCGCAGGATCCGGAAGGAAAATATAAACATGTTCAAGACCTTTGGAACGTGGCGTGTCCGTTGATGACTGCCAACTTGACAGGATCGGGAAAAATACTTCCAATGGATTCTGTTCTCTTATCAGAAGGAGATTTCGTAGATGTTGGGGCAGAACTGGACTTCGTCGTGAGCAGAGATCGACACAGGGGAACAACTCTCAAGTGTTTTCTGACCTGCACACATATCGTTCGTCTGATACCAGCAGACTATGTTCAACACATGAAACTCGTAAGCATATTCAAAATTTAAAAATTACTTAACGCTCATAATTCTCCCTAGGATGACAAGATGAACGAGAGAAAACATACATCTACCCCTCCTCCACAAGACAGAGCAATTAAGAAAACCCATACGACACTCATTTTTGACAAAGAATAAACAGGAAGCGTATTGAATTGTTATGTATTGACATTTGCAATTGTTTATTTGTATTTTAAGCACTATAAACTTTGAAAACGATAGGGTCTTATAACGTTGTTCTCCTTACTTACCAGATCATGACGAAAACGAAAAACGATTCGCCGCCTGACCACGACAACAATGTCGACACGCGACCGCACAAAAGGACAAGGCTATCAAACGCAGGTACGTATTTAACGATATTGTCTCCAATAACTAACACCTTTGTGCGGAAATGTATGAAATAGGGGATGTCGAAAACGACGTTGCCACTTCGAAGGATGTCGCTACCAATCAGAATACCGATAAAACAAACGAGTGAGTAATACTTTGGACCGATAAACAAAACATTAATTGTAAATAGAGCGGACGTTACATCAATTGTCCGCGAGACTGGTACAGCTGAGAGTTCAACTACAACCACCAAGCGAGGAACAGGGACTAGTCAACCTACTCAAACCGTGCGCTCGGTGCTTCCAAACCCCACAAAGTGTTTGATGGAAGATACCGAAGTATCAGAGTACGATGACGCATTGATTGAGTATGTGTTACTTCTAATTTAAATACGTCATTCATATTTATCACCCCACATAGCCGGCTACGCAAACTGTCGGAATACACCAATTCGACTGCTAACGTATATGTGTTAGGCAAATTACTGCCAACAGCCACATGGGGACAATACAAACCGGTAAATGATCGCAGTAAAATCTTATGCAATCCTGCGAACGGAGAACCGTTAACTATCTGGGTTGTCGGAAAGATCTCCAAGATGTGGTTTACGAAATTTGGTAATCCAGAGAGACAGGCTTCGATAACGATTATGCCGCTCTCTAAAACATTGGCGCAGCAAAGCGCATTGTTGGTAGCCAAGATGTCGAGCCCTGCATTGAGTAATTATTCATGCTGATCAATCTCACTAAACTGATAAATAAACAGGCGTTAATCAACAGGCAACACAAGTCATTCGAGCAATCAAGTGGCAATATGCCAAGAATAGCGATGCCGGTTCAGAAGTGAGTGAATTGGACCTCATTGTTATGCCGACACTAAAAAAATGAAGGCTATGCTATTCGATTCGGTCTACGATGCCAGAGCTGAAGGTTCTTTAAAGACGTACAGTGAACGGCTTTTGTGGAATCTCGCAGATCTCAAACCTGGAGATTTAATACTCCTGGAGATGAAGATGACGAAGTATTCTAAGAAGCAAGAAGATAAATGGCACTCACGTGCACAGTATGAGATGATTGCTATCTCGCTCTTGGATGTCGGAGAAATGCCTGAGGAAGACACTCAAGGTATCAGTCCAATTGATGGGTTAGCGATTTAACATAAATCGATGTAGTTTTCTCGCAACGTCTGTGATTCGTGTAATGAAATGTCGACCGAATTCGTGTTGAATGTCTGAAAACTGTGCACCCAAAGCCCCTCTTAGCCAATATTAATCACATGCGAGTTTGATCCCTCATTTAAACGAGCTCCCCTAAAACTAATAAACTGGCAACTGATAATGCACGCCGCCATTAACAATTTGCTGCAAATTTTCGAAGGCGAGGGCGCTTTTATTTTTGGTGAGAACGTCAATCAACGAGGGGATTAATCAACTTAACACTTTTCAGTAACTCAGGATGATCATGGGATCCCCACGTTCCATGTCGACACCGCGGCAGATCTCTTGACGGGAATGGCATCGGCACCACAAATTCCAGAAACATGTACGGTTTCTTGCTTATCCGCAGACTTGATCAACAGACCAATCGAACTCGAAAGTGAGTCTGTGAAATCCATTAACTGTCAGCCATGCTGATTTGCATAGACACGATCGAAAGTGTTGCCAACGACATCACGGTCTACGCCACGTTTTGCGAGTCCGTGAAAGTCATTAGGTTGGTAGCTGAGGAAGCCACAAAAAGACCTCACCGATCCTTTACATCCAGATTGGGAGCGTTATGCGAAAGCATAATGAATCAGGACCTCACTCACTGAAAAGAACTACCCTGCTCTCCAAGGACATATAAAGAATATAAAGACCTACTATTGTATCGCGTGATCGGTTAACTAGGTACCTTTTTGCAGTACGATTGTTTTGCACGTTCTGATTGGATTACTCAAAACAAACATCCAGCAAACGTACGTCCTGGTTGTCATGAAAGACCCATATCGTGAAGAATATGGTCCCTTCCAAGGCTCCCAAAAAGCGCATATGAAATGAACACGATGACATGGGGGAAAATGACAATGTATCTGTACGAACTGAATCACTGACTACCTTTTATTCACAACGAATACGCTACGAGGGCGTTTCTGTGGAAATAAAATCACCGTCTTAATAATATTGACATCGCATAAAAGAATTCAACACAACATCCGAAGACTCTTCGATGACTACAATTCAAAACCGCTTGTTCTGCGGATAAAATTTATATATATAAATGACTGTACAAGGAGACGACACATTCTTGATATACATGTGTAGCCTTCTTCTCTCCCTCTTAGCCAAACTCCCTCTACTACTAGTATTCACACCCTCTGTTTTGTACTACCGCTCATTTTGTACCCCACTCAATCTCCAATGACACTGTGCCGTTCGTCGTTTGTTTCGTCGCACCAATAGCTAAGACTTGTTCTGTGAGAGAATCATAAATTCCACTGGCTGCACGATCTACAAAGGCCTGATGCCACAAATCCCACCTACAAGTACGGTGTCATGCCTGGCAAGTGACTTAATTGATAAACCTACACAATTGAATAGTAAGACATCTCACTTCTTCACTATACGTCATCTCATTGGCAAAGACGATATAGAGAATGTCGCAAATGACGTAACAATTCGCGCAGTCTTTTGTGAATCAATCAACGTGATTCGAGTAGTAGCTCAAGAGGCCAGGAAACGTCCCAACAGATCATTCACATCTCATTTTGGAGAATTGTGCGAAGGGATTATGAGACATGATAGGTGAAACGAGGACGGGTTCAGTAGCAATGGATCTTCGATGACACCGTGCCGTTCGTCGTTTGTATTGTCGCACCATCGCGCCTGCTAACACTGCAAGGCAATATATCAGACTGAACGCATACCCGCACGCATTTGCCTCTCCATCAAATTCAACTCCAGGATGCGCTGGAAATCAGTCGTCAGCGTCTTATCATCCAACAGATACATAGCATGGGGATACTTACAACACGGGTAAGCTGCTTTCAGGCAGAAGAGCAACAAAAATGTATTATCATTAACATTCAAATTCCTGGCTGATAAAGACCTGCCTTTGGCTGCCAGTGCCGATGCAACACGGTGAAACGTGTGAGACGACGAATTTGAGCCATGTATGAGGATTGTTCTGGGATAGCGATGGTCATAGTGAGAGGAAGGAAATTGATTGCACGGATGACAGAGAACTGTACAGTCTGACCATCAGTCTATCAACTCTCTTCCTCGTAATGGCAAAGGGCAGAAATGTTTTGATGTTATGACATGAACACGTGTATTTATATGGGCCTCGAGTGAATTTGTCAAGCGATTGCGACTATCAATGGGAGAACACAGTAAGAAACTGCGGCGCGACCTACCCGGGTTCCCAATAGAACGCTGTTAAAGAGACTACATAGTCCGTGATCGATCACTTTTTGAAAAGCAATGAATTACATGCTCACGACAACACCATTGAGAAGAACGGATACAGCTCACTACTACAATACAGATAAGAAAGAACACATACTCATAATTGGACTTATACACGGATTTTTGCGGAGCGATTAAGGTTGAATTCAGTAGCAATGGACCTTAACAATACAATCGTTCACGTGCACAGAATATATTACAAGAGATAGAATGAAACAAAATTAAAATGTAGGTAGTGGGCTTTACCACCGTCCGGTGGCCCTATCGCTTGTGAAATGTCAACCGAATTCATGAGCAATGTATTATGTAATCAAATGATGTCATTGACAATGATTATCAATCAGCGTGGCGGGCCAGACTTATAGACAATTAGGGGTTTGCTAATTATCCAACTATCATGGAACCATTGCCCACTAAGTCTGAACTTCTTAACACAATTGCTGATGTTGGACGACGTGGTGAATACACACACCGACAAATATGCGATGACATCAACAAAAAAATCCTACCTGGAATGTCAATGTCAAGGTGAGACGAACCTGTGGAACTAACAACTGAAATGCTAATTGCGAACATAGCGCGTCAAAAAGTTACGCAGAGAAATGAAATCAAAAGAAACGGACATTGGATGCGTCTCGGTCAAAATCGCGAGCGATATCACACTGTCAACAAGTGTAACACAAGGCCTTTTGCTTTTGTTAGCCAACATCATCCCTGTCAAACAAGCACGACCAACCTCAAATATTGAGGCATTGCAAATTATAGAGCGCTTGTTGCCCGCCGGAGAGCCTCAATCCCCGCTAGTTCTGTTCCCAAAAGGTGAACATATAACTCATTGGTATTACCATATTTATTTCATGAGCATGGCCTGCGAAAACCGTCCCTTTCACCCTGTGTTGCTGGAGATTTTCGGGCCAAATAGGAGTCCACGAGGAGACGTCGTAATCGTGAAAAATGGAGAAGAGTTTGCACCAAACTCCCCCGCATTCGACCTTGATTGCAACGAATTGGGGAGGACATTGTGGTGGTATATCAAGAGTAGGAGAGATCCAATACAAGAGGCCAGCGAGAGGCGACTCATATGTTACATTGCGCAATTGTAAGTTAATATTGTCTACATAATGAATTGAAAACAATACTGTTTAATTGACTATTCTTTCATTCACCGAGCCACCATGAATGCGCTAGACTGAAAAAGCGCGCCATTCAATTACCCAGCTAACGCATGATAAACGAGAGAAAACATACCAAGTCAAAATCGCGTCAACTAAACCCTTTTCTTCATAACCCATGGATTTATATGAGTGTAAATCGTATCCCATATGCTTGATGACAAGCACATCACCGAACCATTGCGTGTTGCGAAAGACTGCTGAATCCGAAGTGATAGCTTGATTGATGGGTAGTGTACTGTTGTGAGCGAGATAGATGACACTGTACGCATCGCGAAAGACACTATGTGGAGATCCGGGAAAACCACGGACAGAAATTATAGAAGGATAAATATTATGATTGACGGCATGTTGACCAGCGCCGATCCACATATGCGCGCGAACTAATCCATCCGAATCTTGAGGTACGTATGTCAAGACAGCTTCGGAACAGCCAGTACCATAAAATAAAACGTGGTGATAGGTGTGGCCAGCCTTGTAAAATTGAAATTAGTAATGGCATTTAAAATTATAAACAAAACAACCGGCTCATGTGTAAACATATGATTTTCAGTGGAGTGAACATAGTCGATAAGTGTAGAATTGACGACTGGCATCATGGACGTGATTGAAAACAGATGTTAGAAATAAACGAAAGGCAGTGGAAGAATCAACTTATGTAACACGGGCTTTTTCCGAGCCCCTTAAAAATCGAAGGTGATACGGTACAATCGACTGACGTCACCGGTAATAGGACGGATCATCCAAAATCAAAACATCCGATAGTGAGACATCCGAAGACTCGGAATCAAACTGAATTGATTTTGCATCTACCGAAAACCTACTGCAATGAAAGACATACAGTATTTAAACGAACAATGACTATTAGAATAGCACCTACACCAACCATCATGTCCACCAAAGAAACTGTCACCGGATGCTTAGTATCAAGCGCCCCTGTCAACGGCTTCGTAGAAGTTCAGCTGAACGATAGTCCGCTCACTCATCGAAATATCCTATCCGCAGCAAGAAAGTACTTCACGGAAGAAGCTCAATTGAAGGAAGTCAGAATATCTTTGGAAGCAGGCGGCGAAGACGACAAACCTTTCCAAATGATAGTCATATTCGACAATTTACTGCATGGATCGATGAAGTGCGCCTACCTTGCGCTGAAATTAATCGACGAAAATAATGTCGCGGACCTCAACCACCAAGATTATATGACAGTAATCAGGTGCATTGATTGGTGAGTTAAACACGTTCAAATCTAAAATAATTACTAATAGATCAATCACACTGCGACGATGCAAACAGCTTATTGACCAAAATACCGGCTGCGAACAAAGAAGAAGATAACACATCTAACTAGATGGAAAGCGCTGAGCAGCGGACCTATTATCGTGATGGACTGGTAATCTTTCGAATCGAAAAGAGCTCAAATGTTGAGACCGACTTATTATTGTGACAAAATCAATTTGAGTATATGAAGGAATCATCTGTGCAATACTTGCTTTCGAGGTCGTGGTGTCAATGAGGTAGATTGAGACTGCCTTGGCGAACATATATGAGATCGCTTGGCATATGCCTGGCCAATACAATCGATTAATTGATGAGAACATACTGGAAATACGATTAGGAGAACTATTCGAAACTCCGAATTCAGGAGCTTGTTAAGGATGAAATACAACGAACTGATAAAAAGAAAGGGCGGTTATTGACGCAATTCACAATCCTGAACCTCGTTGATCCCAACCCTCACGTCAAATTGTCTGAAAGAAAAAAAAAGGGCAGTCAAAAAATGCAACTTGATAACGGAAATGGCTTCATCGGAATACTCAGCGCAGAACTACAATCCAATATCTTGGAAGAAATGCCTCTCCCCGACCTAATCACGTTCGCAAAAACAAGAAGGCAGAATCAAGACGGTATCGCGTATTACATGGCAATGCGACGTACAAAACTATTCATGCGTTTCGTCGACGACACAAATGCTTTGATTGAATTGCTGGATCGCACCGGAACTGTAATATCGGGATCAAGTGCGCTGAGCCTTGTACAACCAAAACGCCGAGCTATCGTGGTGCGAGACTTGGATGTGTACACCACAGAGAAGTTTGAGGATGAGGTGTTGAAACATTTTGTTGAAAAAGAGAGATACGAGAAGAAACTGGAGGTCCCGAGGAAGACGGAATACGAGTCTACTGCAATCACAAAGATCTACAAATTGCAAAACGGTCAAAAACAAGTGGACGTCATCGTCAGCGACTGGAGCTGCACACTTGCTCCCATTCTCGAGTTTCACTCAACCGCCGTTATGAACTACATCACCGCGCGCTCCATCGTCTGCTTGTATCCCCGTTGGACGGCTGCCAACAAAAGCATGATCAACCCGCGTTTATATCTCCAAAACAAGACCCATATGCGTACCGTCTACGTGTTGATGAAGTACCGGAAACGAGGATTTGACCTGAGTGCAGATGCTTTGTATTTCGGCGACCATCTTTGCGAGGGAGAAAAGAACACTGGCGGAAAAGATGGGTATTGTCCTCATGTAATCCGCAGCACGGTGGATGACGAAGTGATATCATGGAACTTCGGGCCGACAAAAATGTTGGGAAACACAACAATCACGTGCCAAGATATGCCAATAATGGTTTGGTGTCTCGGAGGTCAAGAGTGCGTTGAAGGAGACAAAGAGATAACACTTTCTTTTGCACTCGTATCAGCGTAACCGAACGAACACAATATAGTACATGTAAAACAAGTGAAGAATATTATTAATGAGGAGTTTGCCTAATGATAACGAAAGATGAAAAAAAAAAAAAAAAAAAGAAAGAAAGGGGCCTGGGATGCCCAGAGGGCCGTTGAATGTGAAAATGCAGAGTGTAGGAATGATGTGGGAGGCCTAACATGGGGAGGTGACCAAAACAGGATGTGTTTTGTGAATTTCTGCTTTTGGAGGCAAAAATTGTGGAATAAAACATATCAAAACATCTGACAAATGTGGAAAACACATTTGTGACTGAAAACATAGCTGAGTTTCAAAAATCCCAAAAATGTGGCTGTGAAAGCCAAAACACCCAGCCAAATGAGGACCTGGCAGGTGCCATGCAATTAGGTTAAAAGAGCAAATGGGCAGTTGCCAAAATACTAGGTCTAATATTACAGCCAGGGGTGTGTACTTATACCTTGAGTCTTTTCCCACTAGACTAAATCTCTTGTTTGTCTCTCACAGCCTCCAATGTTCGTTATTCACATCACCTACTTGCACTCTGACTCGGTTCCTCCCACCAAGTACCTCTCAACATACCTCCGACCAAAATGATGGCAACAAATCCAATGGGGGTTCTGCACCCTATGTGGCCATTAAGCCTCCGGCTAGAGATGCTTCACACACTTTAGAGGGTGAGAATATGGAGGTGGTAGACAATGTTTCATTGGTCGCTAACATATTTATGTCTAATTTAGGTTTGTATCATTTGTTGTGACAGCACCACAGAGCCTGAATCCCTGTTCTGCTGTTACAAATGCCCGAGAGTCATATGCATCAGCTGCATTGACATCCTCGATGCATTCAAGCGTGCCATTGTAAATGATGATGTCATTTTCCAATGTATTATCCGCCACATAAACGAGTAAGATATCAGGCAGGACGACAAGCAATTAGTATACTTCGTGTGTCTCCAATCACTTTATTCAATTGTGATTAATTAATTTGACAGGGTTTCTACCACTGTAACGGATGGCCAGTACTCGACAGCTTCCTGAAGATTTGTGGGACCCCCACCATGCCCAAATATCTGGGGCACCTGTTCTCTTCATTCAACTAAAGATAGTTGACTACAATGATACAGGCGGGCCATTTGAGCTTGCATACAATTTCCTGAAGCCATACTTCCTGTGTGGTGGGATTGAGTACCATGAAGCCTTTGACATTGCTGCAACTGCAAAGGCTGTCAGCTATCAACAAGGCATAAATGTCATGGTACACGCCCTCAAGAAGCAAGGCAAGTGGGACCATGTCATGATAGGGATCTCCAACCACACGGACAATGACAATGGCAACCCATTTGCAGGGTACATCAGCAAATAAAAGTACATTGCTTGCTGTGTGCATTGATAATGTGCGTTCATTTTTTATTCTGATGGTGGATTCAACTACTAATATCTTCATAGTTTTTAAAAATCATTCTTGAACTGTGGCAGTACCTCATCAAAAACGCATCTGAATGATACTTATGGCTCTTTTGCTGTGGTGGGCTGATTAACAACATCAAGTTATTCGAAATGTTGCAGATATCTATGCTTCAGTGAGTCCTCTATTTTCCCTTAGCACTTGCACTTCTTACTGAGTCTATTCCGGTCACTGTTTGATTGCTGCCATTGCCTTTACTGTGCCTTGCTTCCAGCCTAGTTTTACATGTCATCTTCTTCTCACATTCGTTGAGATCATACTCAAGTGGTTTACCATTGTCAACTCATTTCCGCACATGCTGGGACAATCCTTTAAGCTTGGATGCCACACAAATATCTTTTTGATGACACCAGACAAGGGCCAACTAACGGTGACCAGGTACTGTTGCACAGGGTATTTTTTTCACCTTGCCTTCTGTTCACTTTAATCTCATTTGCCTTAAGATGGGACAAAAAAAAAACCTCTAGCGGGTGTGGAGGCACAAGCTTTCACTGCCAGTAGTACTGCTGCTGTGTAGCCCACTAAAATCTGTCTCGTGAGCAGGAAGATCAAACCCGAGAACATTGGGTTTGATGAGTGTCTGCAAAAAAACAAGCATTAGTAATGTTAAACCTGCTATTTAGCTTTCACACCTGACATTTCGTTGTTCAGAGCAAGATGGACACAGAAAAAAATTAAGGAAGACTGTGAAGTATGCCACTCAAGCACTCCACAGCTGACTAGTGCTTGAGGAGATCAATAACTTCAACAATCTGGATCCTGAGTTAGAGGATGACTTAGACCATGGGAGTGTTAATGACATTGATGACAATCATTCAACAGTAAGTCATATGAAATTTTTTAACAGTGTTTACTGAATATATTATACTCTATACTACAACAGTTCACTTTCACCTCAGTTGCACTTGACAACAAGGCACGGAACACAGGTGCCGTAAAAACACCCTCACAACACATGGTGCAAGAAAATTGAGCTCCTCCCAAGCTGACTACACAAACTCATCATGTTCCTGTGCCCATGGCTTTGGTTCAAGATTTGTGTTTCCTCACCCAAAATACAACACCCCTGCCACTAGGTGTCCTTGATCCTATCCTGAATGTGCCCATGGGACATGTAAGTGGTGTTTGTTTTTGTTGTATGATCACCAACTTAAAGCACTTCTACAGGGAATGCCAGCTCCATCAAGTAGTGGTCATTGTCCAGCTAGCTGTAAGCCACTATCAATGCATTCTGGCTAATTCATCAATCTATCCAAGTGATGCAGAAAGTCATGACTGGTCTTGCAAGGCATGAGGTGCAGCCTGTTGTGCAAACAGAGTCAAAGTGGAGTATGATGAAAATGCAGGCTTGCTACAATCTTGATGGTATGATAGCACCAGACCAGTTTTGAAAAAGTGCACATGGAGAATATTGAATGGTGGAGGTCGAGACACATCTGCCACAGCATGGTCAATAACATCATAGACGAGGTCCAATAGAGCATTCACCCAGTATAGGACATTTACCTCCCCAAACAATTTAGACAACTCATCCATAAGTGTGAAGTATCCGATTCTGTAATCCAAACTGACCAGTGTTACGACAGAGGTTGTATTCAAACTGGGATGGTTCACAAAGAAAGCATGTCCTCTAAGTTATCAATCAGTGGTCGGAGATGTTAATATACCCAGCAGCCTAAGCCATTGGGTTATGACAGAAGGATAGGTAAGCACTCAAGGCGAGGAGCCGAAGAAGGGTTTCACTTTCGACTGTGCAGTCTAGGTGAGAGATCGCTCTGACACAACTACCATAAGGCTGAATTGTTTTGTGTATTAGTCCAGTCAGGGATTGCAACAACATGAGACAGATTGACGCTTACTATCGGTCACAGTTGGAATCAGCTCAAGTCCTATCAGAGATTGGAACAATTTACATTTATATTGGGCAGCATTCACTGACTGCCAAATGGCCTAAGGATCAGGCCGTTGTTGACTTGCTAGGTTGGACGACAGATGTTGTGGCACAGCAGGCTGTGACACTGATACAAATGTCAGTAAATAATATTGAGAAAATCATTATCAACTTACCAGTGGGTTTCTGAGATGTTATGGACCTCATGTCATATCATCCATAGCATGGTGCACATACATTGTGCCCAGGTCTGCCAGGTTGCATTGTAGCCACATAAAAGTGTAATGGCTGCCTATAGTTTGATAAGGAATTGGTTGACTTCGTTTAGACTTTGAATGAAAGTAGTAGCTTTTGTAGAACGAGATAAGGACTAGGCTTGAGGTTTCTCTGAAGGCTGCTGCCTTGAGTGGAGAAATCAACGTGTCTATTCTGCTAATTAGTGTAGGTGTACATGGCAGTATTTATACATTGGCAGGAGGTTCTATTATACCAGAATCAGTGTGAGGAGCATGTGGTGCACTCAAAAATACTTGGTGAAGGACAGGAATGGTGAGGTTGGAGCACAAGGTAAGGTACAAAAAAGATATAGAAAGGATATAGAGGAATGTATCCATGTTGTTAAGACCATGCTCAAGGGGCGGATCTGAAGGGCTTGGCTTCAGCTCATGCGCTGCGCCCCTTACCCGAGTATGTGCCCTTAATTTACAAAGGCTAGAAACAAAGTCCGAGGGAGGATGATAAGTCCTGGTGGACTTCGAGGGGACAAGTCTGGGAGGTTTTTCCGAGGAAGAGTCGGGCCGATGTTCAGGGGGTTGGTCCGGCTGATGTAAGGAGGGTTAGTCCGGCCGATCATAGGGTTAGTCTGGCTGACATAAGAGGATTAGTCTGCTGGACAATAGGGGCTCAGTCCACCGAACAATAGGGGCTCAGTCCACCGGACAATAGGGGCTTTAGTCTGGCAGACACGGCGGACAGAACAGACAGGTATAAGGACAGAAAGACAGGAAGACAGGAAGTCCAAGAAGGCGGAAACTAGAGGTAAGACTACACTAGACAATGTCTACAGTAGAAACTGACGGAGGTAGGCTACCTGAAGGTAGAGGCGGAGTATAGCCCAAGGAATCAATCCCAGGACACAGAGGTTGGACCGGGAAATGGAGTCCGGTCCATGGAAATGGATCCCGGACCCGAGAGACAGATTCCAGTCCAGGGAAACAGAATGAGGATAATCTAAGGTGATATTTGAACTGAGGAAACTACTATGAGTTTACAAGGTATTATATACTATGGACATGTGCAATGGGGATAGAGACAGTGGAGATCCGGGTCAACGAGAGGAACATACAGAAAGGTTAAACTGACAGGTGCAAGGAAAATAATATAGGAACAATCGAGAACAGAGACAGAGATGAAGTATCAAATGGATCCGGGCATAGGAGATATGATCGAGAATGAAGTCGGATATTAACTGTCAAGCAGATCCGGGCATATAGGGGTTAGGACAAGGGGACTATACAAATGGGGTAACAGAATAGGAGCAGGACCAGAAATGAACTGTCAAGCGGATCATGGGAAATGGGGATGGAGATGAACTGTGAAGTGGATCTGATGTTTTAGGGGTTAAATGGATGTGAGTGGGTCCGACGTTTAGGAGGTCCAACGTATGCAGGAGGAGCAGATAAGCGGACAAGCAGATGAGCGGACAAGCAGATGAGCGGATGAGCAGATGCGCAGATGAGCGGATGAGCGGATAAGCAGATGAGCGGACAAGCAGATGAGCGGATGAGCGGATGCACAGATGAGCGGATGAGCGGATGAGCGGATGAGCGGACGAGCAGATGACATGGGTAGGATCCGACGTATAGGACATCCGACAAATAGGAGGTCCGACGTATAGGAGGTCCAATGAATACAGGAGGAGTGGACAAGTGGATGAGTGGATGATATGGGTGGGATCTGACAAATAGGATGTCCGACGTATAGGAGACCCGAGGTATGCAGGAGGAGGAGGATGACATATCATGTTGACAGGTTAGGGGAAGCAGGGCAGATCCTGCTGAGGGTTATGGATAGGGTTAAGGTATAGCTTGGCTACATTTTGGAGGTCCAGACATTGTTTGTCGGGAGAGATGGGATATGCTTCAGGGGTTCAGTGTACGGTATATGACACATGTACTCGGATGCGAAGAGTACAACTCTTTGCATCCGTGAGTCACGTGGCTGTCTTTGAACATGTCATAAGTTCAAACTCCTTGTTTTAAAGTCAGTTCAGTGCGTAAAGGACAAATGGTCCTTACACCTCCTCCCCACTTTGAAATATTGACCGTTGCGTGGTTGATCTATGAACAAATTAAACTAATAAAAAAATATACTGTATGCAGAAACATAGATTAGAAGTGAGAGAAAAAAATGAATGGCACATCTACCATTGTTCGGTTTTGAGGCCTGAGAGTGCTTGAGGATCAATGTACTGAGTGACTTCTATTGAGGATTGAGAACGAGGGTGGTATGGAATGAGATGGAACATGGCAAATTTGAGCTTTGGAACACTGCCATTGAGCTCTGCGAGACGGTAAGATCCTCCTGCTGCGCGTGAAACGACAATCATGGGGCTGAAGTAACGGGGTTTGCACTTCGTGTTTGATGCGGGTTCAATCTGTTTGTTGAGGACAAGGATGAGTGATCTGGGAGCAAAATAATAGTTGTGGATGGTATGCGCAAAGTGTCTCTTGAAGTCGCGGATGGAAGCAAGGCGGCTTTTCATGAGATGAGTGTGAGCGATGGTGAGATCCTCATCATGACTTGCAAGTTGGTGAGCACGGGCGGCGATTAAGTCGTGGGTTGAAAAGAGGGTGGTGACATCAGGGAGCATGAACATGGCGTGAACGAAGTCGAAGGGTGAGCCACTTGGTGATGTTGCCATTGCATGCTTTGACAAGTGAATTGTGAATGGTGCAATGAGAGTGTTCCACAATGCCATTGGCCTTCAAATTGTACGCCAAGATGTGGATGTGCCGGATTTGATACTTCTTGGCTAACCAGTCAAGTGCGGCGACACACAGTGTGCTGTTGTCAGTGACTGTTTCTTCAATGCCTCCCCATCTACATAGAATCTCCACAAAGAAAAAGGCACCCAAGGTGCATCCAGTTTCCTTCCTTAACATGTGGAACTCAGGCCAGTTGGACAGGGAGCAGTGTGCTTGGATGATGTAAGTGAATCCATGTGCCATTGGCATGTACATGGAATCCGCAAAGGTTTTGCGGAAGAGAGGCGCTGGGATGGAGATGGTGGGAGGGAGGATGACCTTCTCAACAGACCATATCTGACATTGGTGGCAGGTTTTGAGGTACCACGTGAGGTCGTGGTCGAGCGAGGGCCACCAAAAACGATCTGTGATTGTGCATCATGTGGGGTAAAATCCACGGTGACCGAGTTCATTGTGAGTCTGTGTGAGGATGGAGCACGACCTGAGCCGAAGAGGACAAGTTGATGGCACCCATTTGGCTCTTTTTGCCAAAGTTGGTGCCTGCTGACGAAGAATTGATGGGAGTGTTTGGTTAGGTGGGGGCAATCTTTGATAAGGATGGTGTCTGGAAATGAGAGGCTGTCAAGGAAGGAACAGATTGAAGTCTTGCGTCATCGAGAAAGCCCATCGGGGCCAATGTGCTTGCTCCCTGGGATGTGTCAAAGTCTGAAATCAAAAAGTAAGATGCCCGCTATCTAGCAGTTAACGGTGTTCAGCTGAACGTCTGGATTATTAAGCATCCCCTTTATGTATTTTGCATCTACTTCCACTACAAGGTCTTTTACCCCTATGATCCAGACTTTCACAGCCTTCAACGCTCGGAATAATATGTAAAGTTTGATCTTTGATTGTGAGTATCATCCTTCACGATCGTTCCACGTAATGGAGCCGAAACGGGCCAGTCACCTTCATTTTTTGTCATTGAGTTGCTGCAAGATCCAACTGCAAGCTATGTGTGATGAGTTGACGGCTAGTATCACCTTGTTTGTAGAGTGATAGTTGAGGGGTTGAATAGTGGGGGATTTAATGATAGCATTTTTCAGTGTGTCCATAGTGTGCTGAGCATCTTGAGTCCATTGGAAGGTAACATTGACGTGAGTGAGATTGGTGAGGGGGCGGGATATGAGCACAAAGTCCTGGATCCAGTTGAAAATGGTGCTGGCGGTACCTATAAATCCACAAACTTCTGTTTGTGTGGTACAGGGGGGCCAGCTTTGAATTTTGTTGACCTTGGAATGGTCGGGTACATGACCCTTGTAAGTGCAGAGTTGTCTTACCACCAGGACTTCGGGAACACAAAGGAACAACTTCGTGGCAAAAACGGTTGCCCCGGCATGCTTGAGTCGGTGGAGGATGCAGTTGGCATCTGCACAGTGTTCCCATATGAACCTGTGGATGCCTGGATTCTTGGGGATAAATTTGTATGAGCCATTAGGCAACTCGTATCAGGTGGGTGGACCGAGGATATTGACAT